TTGGTAATGTGAATTGTGGCTCGTTCTTACTCCTGGGTGTTCTGCAAGTCATCAAGAGCCTGGGAGGAGAAAAACTTGTAATGGCATAAGTAGCAATGAAAGACAAGGTAAAGAGGTCGGAGAGTGAGAGGAGAAGCAAAGGAAGGGCTTGTAAAATATAACATCCTAAAAGTCTAATATCTTGTTAATCAGATTAATTAAAGATAATTGAGTGAGAATTAGTTTGGTATGGAGACAAAGAGAATTGAGTGTTTTGGGTTGTGTTTTTAGCCTTAAACGCGAGTCTGAAGCAAGGTTGGGTTACCTAAACCTTAAAATGGGAGAAAAATTAAAGAAAATGGCCATGTGCCACATGCCACGATGCATGCACAAGATGATACTGTGCACGAGTCATCAATATGCTGTAATAGCCCTAGCTCACCAAGGGCCTCTCCCCTTGGACTTTCACCGTGCTAGACACACCTTCCCCTAGCCCCCATACTGGACGACCCCTTTTAAGAGAGCATTAGAGATAAGGCTTCCCCACAATAGTATGTGGGATTATTCTAATGTGATAAATACGTACAAGGTTCAGCCTCAACTTCATTAAGTAGGAAAGGTTGCAAGATTAAACCTGGGAGGCTCTCCTTATGGTATTTATCACAGGAGAATAATCCCACATACTACTTTAAGGAAGCCTTGTCTTTTGACGCTCTCATAAAAAGGGTCTTCTTGTGTGAGGTCTAGGGAGAGGTGTGTTCAGCAAGGCAAAAGTCCGAAGGGAGAGGCCCTTAGTGAGTTGGGGCTATTACATACATAAAGGAACCCCTCTTTGTGCCATATGCCGTGGCATATGGACAAAATTTGACAGTAATAAGTTGCAAAATTAGCTCAAAAAATATAGGGAGGCAAAGAGGTTTAAGAGAGAAAACAAATAGCATGAATTTTCCTCTGTTAGAGCTTAGAGATTCAAAATTTTGTGAGCATTTTGGAGCTTCCAATCACTTAAGATAAGTTTCACAAGCCCTAGTCTTTCTTCCTTTTCCTCTTTTGATAGATTTTTAGTTAGGGTCTGATTATGGGAATTAATTTTTGAACCTATGTAATGATGGGTCTGAACCCATTAGCCTAAATGAGGCTAATGAGAGTTGTTTCAGGTATCTTAACCTAAGTTTGATGATTTTGGTTGCCTTTAAACTTGAACTCTCATTAATAGATGAACCCTAGACTCTATGAGTATGAATTTAAATTATTGGATAAAGTATTAAGGATTATTTAGTTTAATGTGAGCTAAGGGGAGTGGATAAACTTAATAGGTAAGTCTAAATGCTAGAAATAAGAGCTTTAGACATTTTTATGTTGAAATAGAAAGTTAAAAATTTTATAAATAGTGATTTTGAGTTATTGAGTGTCGAAATCAATATTACTTAAGTTCATATTAGTTAATTATAGGTTATAAGGGCTAATGTACCTATTGGTCGAAAGTAAATTCAAGAGGTTGATGCTAAGTAGTAGTTAGATGTTGAAATAAGAAGTTAAAAGATTGTAAATAGTAATATTAATGATTGTGGACTTGATTAATTGTCCTTGGCACTAAATTGAGCTTAAGGCCAAGCTTTAGAAGCAATTATTGAGGGATAAACCTTTGACCACTCAAAGGTTTGAGGTAATTGGGGGAATCTATTTTATGTAATTATATGTTAATTGATTTACATTGCCAAATTATATACGATTAGCAAGAATAGATGAAATTTCTTATTGGTTAATTTGTAACACATTTTGAAAAAAACATAAATAAGGCTATGATAAGTTTTTAATTATAACATGATATTGAATAGTTGTGTATTGTTAGGAAAATTATTACTCATTTGAGAAAAGTGATATTGAAATATTATGAGCCATATGATGTAAATATATTATGATAACATGATAAGTGAATTTATGGCACATAGAATGGTGATGGTATATGTGTGTGATGCAATGATGATATGTGAAGTATGTGTTGATAATTGTGATAGTAATAAAGAATTATACACAATGCTTATATGTTAAAGTTTGTTCAATGTATGACAGTGAGCTAGCTATTATGGGTTGATAACATGTTATATGTGAGTATGAGTGAATGCATGATTGTACTGATATGAATTCGCTTAAGGAGAGAAGTAGTGATAAAAATTCATGTGGTATTTGGTTGCTTATCATTGGAATCAAATGCTAGCCTGGCTTCCTACCATTGAAATCGAGAAGTAGCCACTATCCTACTATTTATCGAGGGACTGTCTCATTGTTTGTCGAGGGACTTAAACCAAGCTATCTTTATCTGATTGTCGAGGAGACTAGCTTAGGGATTACGACAACCTAAGGATTTGAGAGTAGGGGAAACCATGGTCTAATGGTGAGGATAGTAACCTTGGCCACCTCTCACAAATGGTGAGCTTAGGTAATTCATTCACACAAATGGAACCCAATTTCATTAATAGTCCATTGTTTCAGTTAGAAGATATAAGCAGGATATAAGGTTGGTTCAATCATGCATATTATTCAACTTGTCACATGGTTGTTAAATTTATGACAAGTCATGATATTTGGGTTAACCATTATCACATGGTAATTATTATTATGGTAACGTGCACTGTATATTTGATTGGGCTATTATAACATGGTTGTTAGTATTGTGGCAATATGTTTTTTGATTTGATTTATGGGAAGATAAGATTATGATAATGTGTATGAACTGTCATGAGATATTTATGAAAATCGTAAGATATGTGACTGTATACCTTATATAATTTGTTTTAAAAAATGTCAATTAATATGCAATTGCATAAGATAGAGGAACCTTGGTTACTAAGTGATTAGACTCACCCATCTTCTTTAACATTTTGTAGGCTCTAGCTCTGATGCAGAAAGGAAAAAAGTTCCAGAGGCTTGGGAATTTGAGTATTCCTAATGTATGCCTCTTTGATTTATTCATTTTGTGTAATAAATTGATTATTGCCAATTAGGATGCATTTTTATTTTACACATGCACTATATGCTTATTTACGATGTCTGGATGTATTTTGGGTCATGAGTTGTTGTTGATGATTAGTTGTAAAAGTTGATAGGGCCAGAATACTAATACCAGTGTATGATTGTTCACTTGATTACAATGGTAAATATTATGTTGCAATGCAATGCTAAAATCATCTTCTTCTGTTTTTGGTATTAAAGGGGTTGAGGAGTGAAATTTTGATATAATAACGTAATTGTGTGTGTGGTGTGTTGTACAAGTAGTCTTAGGTCCAATGAATATGGTCTGATTGTTAGAAATGACTTTTGGCATTTGTATAGAGTTTTGGACACCCTTTGCTGTGAAAGTTTTTGAAAAAGTGCTTGGGTACCCAACTTCCTAGTATGACTTGATTTGAAAATGAAACTTATGCCATTAACTAGTTTATGTTATGAGCTTTTTATAAACATTTGGATCATTTCATTATGACGAAGAAAGGGAGTATGTCAGAAGTTGCCCGGATCTACTATCAAATGATAGCAAAACTTGTTGTCATGAGCATGTAACATGTCACAGTGCATGACACCTACACCACAGCGTGTCGCATAAAGAGTGACAAGCCATGTCACGTTAGTTTGTTTTTATAATTTTGAGATTTTTCAACTATTTTCAACTCCTTTCACACCTATGAGTTATCCCATGTTTTGTAACAATATTCTACTCTGATTAAAGGGCAAACGTATGGTTTTAACTTATTTTAAACTATGAAGACTTAGGATCTTGTTATTTCAAAATTCAAACTTGGAAATCTCTTTAGGGGTTAATCCCTTAATTACTATAGATTATAGTTTTAATAGTGTTTAGTAAAGAAGGATTTTACATGAAATCATACAAAAGATAAGGTCAGAGGCTGAGGAAGCCATGAGAGGATAGGTGTTAACTTATATTCCTATCTATAAGGGAAGCCCTTGACAGTGAATAAATAAAGCAAAGATGGTGATGGCGACTCATTATTTCCTCTCATTCTATAAGTGATGCAAATTTTAGCTTTCCAAATACTGCTTATAAGATTAAGCCACTATTTACATACATGAGCATGCACATAAGCTCCTCTCTTTGCTACTGGGGAGCGGTTTGAATATCTAGCATTCATTTAGAAGAATTTCAATAGTTGGCTTTTGAAGTTGATATTGCTCAAAGTGAAGATTTTCATTTATAAATGGCCCATTGATTCTAGCATGCTTGCTAGGAGGATAGCATACATTAATGTTGGAACCAAGAGTACATAACGAACCCCTAAGTTAGAGTTCATCATCACTTGATAAAGTTATTTTTAAAACCAAAAATAAGTCACACAATAGTTATAGTTCTTAAAGATACTATTTCTTATAATAAAATTTGAATATGAAGAAGGGATTGATAGGGCTCAAGCTTGAGAATAAAGAAGGGATTAGTGGGATGTGAACTCCACGGGGTTTCTTCATGCATGGTTTGTTCCAACAGAATTATAGTAAGCAATTATATTACTATTTAAACTCATTGAAAATTGCCTATTCAAAAGTCTACATTGATCTGTTTAAGTTTCTCTTGTAATTTGGTCTTATTAGCTTCAAAATTAATTGCACACGAGGCCTAAGCCTTGCTGTGCTTTATTAGAATTTGTTAGGCTTTAAGGGTAATTTTTTTTTCTTGTTTTTTAAGGCATTATATGCCATTCTCCCAATAAAAAAAATTGAAAAAGTTTTGGGAGAATTATATTAAAATATCATTGAAATAAATTCATTATATATAAGAATTAACAACAAATCCTATTTAAAAAAAATCATATTTTTATTTAAATAAGAATTCACTTTATGTCAATTCTTGCGAATAATTATTCAGTGATTTTTGATATTATTCTCCCAAAAGTTTTTGCTCTTAACCGATCGGTACCCTTACCCGGATCCGACGTCTGCCAGAGGTCTCTTCGTGTCCTCGATGCGCCTGAGCCCTTAACCTTGAAAATTATATTTCAAAACATTTCCTCTTTTGAGGATTAGTCGTCCAGTCCTTAGAAGAGTTCCGCTGCTTCTCGTCTTTTCGCATGCCCCTTCCCTGTATTAGATCTATCTTCTCTCCTGTGGGGGTCCAAATCTTCTCTGGTTGCTGATTCAATACCTCCCATTGATTTGGATCCTCCACTGGCTTTCTTTTTCGTTGCTTGGTCTTCACTCTTTGACTCTCAGTCGACGCTAACGATCGCCGCCGCAGATCCAAGTCTCTGATTATCAGTTCCTAGATCCAAGGCGTCATGGCGGCCGCGAATGCTCCGATCGCCATGAGAGAGGCCCTAACTGTGAGTTCTCCTTCACGTTGTCCTCTTTCATATTTCATATACTTCGATTTTCTCTTTTTTGCTGAACTGAATTTGAACTATAACCGTGATATGGATCCCGATAACGAGGTATTGGGATAAACATGGGGGTCCTGTACTTTTGGTTTGCTTAATTTTGGCATGATTTTGCTTAATTTTGATTTCCAACTCAAGTGTTATTGATGCTCTGGTATTGCTACAAAGTTTGCTCTACCCTCTGTCAAGTTCACACAGATCTGAATGTTTATTGTTTGTGTCTGAAATGTGGAGTATGATATTTAGTATTTGGATTTTGCCAATGTTTATTTCAAATGGAGTGAATTTAGTTTTGTTATGTGACTTATAATTGCAGTTGCCAAGCGTGGGCATCAATCCGCAATTCATCACTTTTACGCATGTGACGATGGAGTCTGAAAAGTACATATGCGTACGAGAAACTTCTCCGCAGAATAGTGTGGTTATAATCGATATGAACATGCCGATGCAACCTTTGAGAAGGCCCATTACTGCTGATTCGGCTCTTATGAATCCGAATTCTAGAATCCTTGCTTTAAAAGGTAAGATATATCTTTGTTATTTTCTCCTAAACTCTTGAGTTGTGTGTTTGGTTATGAATATTATGGAAATGGAATATTTCAGTATTGCTGACGTATAAAATTATCGAAAACTAACATCATTATTTTCTTTGGCTTTGTGTTACCAAGGAACCCGTTAGATGGATGGATTACTTATTTAGTTGAGCGAGATTATGAGCTAATGCTTCTTCTTCTTCTTTTTGTTTTTTTTTGGGTTTCCAGACCTTAGTTGCTTTTGATATCTTTGGTCCACCAGATTCGTTTAGCACAATTATGGATATTGCTAGTGACTTAATCGCTTGGAGCATAGAATTGTCAAGCATTTTTGTAAATGATTTGAAATCCTGATTTTGGCATTGTCAAAATATGTGAATTTAACGGAACGTGGAATAATGGTACAAGGGTTGGAGAGGCATAATTATATTTAGTGGAAATAGTATGTTGTATTACTATATGCTCCTTCAGTTCATCTCGTATACAAGAGTGGAGAGATTCTAGTTGTGAGGGTTTCAACTGGGCCGAGAGAAGTCATGCTTTGAGGTTAACTATGAGTTCATTTTTGAGAGGTTCCCTTCAAATGTATTTTCCACTCTGAACTTTAATGATCTTGGTGCCATAGATCCGATAATAATTCTTCTTCATCTGCTTGGGGTACATGGTCTCATATTGGTCCTTTCATGAAAACTTGCCCAGTCAGATGGCTGTTGCCTTTTTCTTTTCCCCTTTTTAAATATGTTTTATGAATTATGCTTTTGTTAGTTTTTATCAATCAGACAACGTCTCAGTTGCTCAGAAGAACAATTATTTATTGCAATTGACTGTTTTATTCTTGTTATTAGCATTTAACAATGTCGACTGTGCTCTTACCTTTTGAGGAAAATATGCCTGTCATTTAGATAAAAGGTTAAATGCTCCCAACCATTGTGACACGAGGTTTCAGTTGATTATGCTACTTGCTTCTCTTCTTGTTGCACTTCAAATATTCTATACTTCTGGATTGTTTTTTCTCATATTCTACATCTTTTGAAGCCCAACTTCAAGGGACAACTCAGGATCACCTGCAAATATTTAATATTGAGATGAAAACAAAGATGAAATCTTATCAGATGCCTGAGCAGGTAACAATCTTATTGTAGCATAGTATTCAGTAATTTAATGTTTATAAGTTAAATTTTGTTAATCCATGTGAACTGCCCCATTTCTTCTATAGGTAGTCTTTTGGAAGTGGATTACCCCGAAGATGTTGGGCCTCGTGACACAGACCTCAGTATACCACTGGTCAATAGAAGGTAGAACTGTAGGATAGTGGTATTCTGCTTCACTCTGTAAATCCTTGCACTTATCTTGCCATTTCCGCATTCTTATTCTGGGTGGATGTTGCTTATCTGCAAATTAATAACTTGTAAAATGTAAATGTTCCTTGATTATGTAATTTGCAGGTGACACTGAGCCCGTCAAGATGTTTGAGAGAACAGCAAATTTAACAAACAACCAAATCATTAATTACCGATGTGACCCTACAGAAAAATGGTTGGTCTTGATTGGTATTGCTCCTGGTTCCCCTGAGGTATATTTTTTATGTCTGTTCTTTGAACTATCATGGTTAAATGCGTTCAGATTTTTCTTTTTTCTCGGATGGCTTATGTCTGTGTCTGCTATAAGCAACTTTCTCGGTTGCATGACAGTCATTTTTGGAGTCTGATCTGTTCTAATTCATTTCTTTACATTGTTCTGCTCTGTAGAAGCCACAGTTGGTCAAAGGGAACATGCAACTTTTCTCTGTGGACCAGCAGCGTAGTCAAGCTCTTGAAGCACATGCTGCGTCATTTGCCCAATTTAAAGTGCGTACATTTTCTGTGACCCATTTTCTTTAATTCTTTATTTGATATTACCTGAATATGAAGTTAGGATACATTTACAGCAATGCTGATACAACCAACTCCTACACTGTGGTGCAATAATTTGTAGGATGGACTTTGACAAATGTTGTATTAAAAGTTCTCATTATGAATATCATGATCATAAAATTTACACGAATCCATAGTTGTTTTATGTTTCATCTGTTCATCATATATCTAGCACAGAATTTAGTTTTCTAACATAAAGTCAATTATTTGATTGCATTTATTTTCCTGAGTTTTACAATTTGGCATGCCATATACGAGAATGACATGATAATTACATTTCATCCAATAGTTGTGTCAAAGTAAATGAATCACTTTCTATGACAATTTATTGGATCATGTGGTCTAATAGGCAGCTCATTTCTTGCATTGGTGTTGATTTTTGTCGGGAAAAATTAATTGGGTTTTGTAGCAGGTTCCTGGGAATGAAAATCCATCTGTCTTGATTTCATTTGCTACAAAGTCGTTCAATGCTGGTCAATTAGCATCCAAGTTGCATGTTATTGAGCTGGGTGCACAGCCAGGTCTGCATATTATTACTTCTTTCTCATTTTCCTTTTATGTAACTATCATATGGGTAACTGAGATGGTAACAGCTTTTTTTTGAGTGATAATTTGATGAGTCTCCAAATTTAATTATTCCTGGTAATTCAGAATTTTTAAATAACTGATACTCATCCATTATGCTATATTTTTCATTAACGAGTGCTATCATGAGTATCCAAAAATAATGATACCAAGTAGTTCAAAATTTTAAATATGCGATCTGCCTTTGTCATGATGCATTTTTAATTCAGAGGTGCAGGTTGTGGTACTCTTGACCCTTAATTTCCTTCCCAGTATTGCAATGAGTTAATGAAATGGCATCTTACATGAGATTATTAAATCTTTCCGATTTAGAATCTCACTGATGCCTAAACTTTTGTATTCTATATGCATTTTGTTCAGTCATCATTTTTACTAATTTCAATTAGGAAAGTATAATGTCATCTTTAGTCATACTCAAAGGGTTGCTTTATCTGATTTCCCATGCGTATGACTGATGGGAAATTTCGGTAACATGATTGACATCATAGATGACTTCTGTTGGATTTTCCATTTTGATGGTAAACCTTTACCTATTGGAAGAAGAGCTGAGCAATGGCTATGCACTCAATATTTCTTTCTTATAGTGCTAACTGATAGCTAAATCTGCAAATGCAAGAGGAATATATTGAAATCAATCTAGGATTTTGAGAATGAAGGATATTTAATTGAATCTTGTGCACTTCATCCTGTGGTCCCATTGTTATTCCTTCTGTATTATAGTGTTAATGTTTTGTTGGCAGGGAAACCATCGTTCACAAAGAAACAGGCGGATCTTTTCTTTCCCCCGGATTTTGCTGATGACTTTCCTGTTGCAATGCAGGTGTGTAAGTTGCTCATGTTTGTTGCTCATTTCATAAATATTAGAGACGTTTGACTCCTAATATGATTTTTGGCAGATATCCCACAAATTCAATTTGATTTACGTGATCACCAAGCTTGGACTATTGTTTGTTTATGACTTGGAGACAGCTGCAGCAGTATATAGGAATAGAATTAGTCCAGATCCAATATTTTTGACTGCAGAAGCTTCATCAGTTGGAGGCTTTTATGCCATCAACAGGAGAGGGCAAGTGTTATTGGCTACTGTTAATGAACAAACCATTGTGAATTTTGTCAGTGGTCAAGTATGTTTCTGCCTTTTTGTCTTGTTAATATTGTTACAAGAGAAAGATGAAGTAGATATAAATGAATTTTGTCTAACTGTTACCACAGTTAAACAACTTGGAGCTTGCGGTTAACCTTGCCAAAAGAGGAAATCTTCCTGGCGCTGAGAAGCTGGTATGTCAAGTTTGCCAACTTAATTATTGGAAATGGTCTCTCTTCATTGGGAGATTCTAATAGAGGTGTAGCATTTGTTAATAAATTTAGGTTTCATGCAATTGTTATCTTGTAACTTATGTGAAGTATTGGCAATGTTTGTTAGGCAATGCTGTCCATATGGAAAAGTTTTAATAGAAAGTATTAAGCTGGCATGGTCAATATTTCTTTTTTCTATTTCACTTTTACTGATTTAGGTGATTACACTCTTTATTATGACATTACAGGTTGTGGAGCGTTTCCATGAACTGTTTGCCCAGACAAAGTATAAGGAAGCAGCTGAGCTTGCTGCTGAATCTCCACAAGGAATCCTCCGTACACCAGAGACAGTTGCCAAATTTCAGGTGTTTTTTATGTCTGGTTCCTGCTATAGCTTTACAATATACTTGTTTCCCTGATTTCTGATGGTTTGCTACTTTGCTATGCACTTTATCTTGAAGATATGTCCTGTTATGTCAGTTATTTCACATTTGAGTTCTGGACAATCTGGGTTTCAATTTAAGATTTGTTATCCTTAGCCTGCAATTGCTACAGGAAGACAGTTTTGTTGTCATGTCCTGATTATTGCTTTCTTTAATTATGCAAAAAGACTTAGATTTCGTACCTAAGTCTAACCAGACAGTCATGTTTGCTTATCTTAATGGAAGAGTTGGTTCTATTCTCCCGTGTACTGGTAAATTTTGCTGTAATGATAGAAGTTTTGCACTTTGCTATATGTGGCAGAGTGTTCCTGTGCAAGCTGGGCAAACTCCTCCTCTGTTGCAGTATTTTGGGACTCTTTTAACAAAAGGAAAGCTGAATGCCTTTGAATCATTGGAATTGTCACGACTTGTTGTGAACCAGAACAAGAAAAATCTGTTGGAGAATTGGTTGGCAGAGGACAAACTAGAATGCAGTGAGGAGCTTGGAGATCTTGTTAAGGTTGATTTACATTAGAAACATTGATAGTTTCAAATTGATTACCTCTCTCTCTCTCTCTCTATATATATATATATCTTCTATCTTTCTAATTACTATGTTGCCACTTTTAGCTGTATTCAGATGCATCTGTTAATTCTGATTGACATATTCTCGTGTAGACTGTGGACAATGATCTTGCTTTAAAAATATATATCAAAGCCAGAGCTACTCCTAAAGTCGTTGCTGCCTTTGCTGAGAGAGGGGAGTTTGATAAAATCCTTATCTATTGTAAGCAGGTAGAGACCCTTATTTTTCATCTATAATGTTGAAATTTCATGCTGCATCAGTAAATTCTTCAATGCTATTAAACCAAAAGATATTTCTCCTTACCTGTTGTATATGATGTTGTGCGCACGCGCACATTCATTCTTGAAGACTTCCGATCTGAATGCTTTCATTACTTTGTTATAGGTCGGCTACACACCTGACTACCTGTTCCTCTTGCAAACAATTCTCCGGACAGACCCTCAGGTATATGAGAAGTCTACGTTTTATAACCTGTGACGGTTTCTCTGTATCTTTCTCATTGACCACTTCTTATTGGAATTTGTCACCTTTTGCCTTAAAAGAAAACTGTGCTTTAAGCTGAGTATATCTTGTGAAAAAGATTTTTTTGGAAGCTCTGGAAGCTAACTTTTTCTTTTGATTTGCAGGGTGCTGTTAACTTTGCATTAATGATGTCTCAAATGGAGGGAGGTTGCCCAGTTGATTACAACACCATAACTGACCTGTTTCTTCAGGTTGGTAACATGCTGCATTGTGTCATCCTGGTGATATAATTTGATGTTATCTTAGAGTACCATTACCTTAATTAGACACAGAAGCTTCTGCTGTCTTGTTTCCTATACTTGATTTGAGCACTGTAATCATTAGCGGTCCATTTACTAGTTCTTTGGATATTTTCTTTTCCTGCTCAGAGGAATCTGATCCGTGAGGCAACAGCTTTTCTCTTGGATGTGTTGAAGCCAAATCTTCCAGAACATGGGTACCTTCAGACAAAGGTTCTGGTCTTCTTGTCCCCTTAGACCATTTTGTAATTCTTTCCTTGCAATGATATAATGCATGTGAATTCTGTCTTTCAGGTGCTGGAGATAAATCTAGTAACTTTCCCAAATGTAGCGGATGCAATTTTGGCAAATGGCATGTTCAGCCATTATGACCGTCCTCGTATTGCTCAACTATGTGAAAAAGCTGGTCTTTACATACGAGCTTTGCAAGTAATGACTTGTAAAATCTTAAAAAATGTTGAATACCTATCTTTTTAGTCCCAATTAGGACTGAAGTTATCTCCTTTGCCTGATGCATTATTTTGCTGCAGCATTACACCGAGTTGCCAGATATTAAGCGTGTAATTGTGAATACACATGCTATTGAGCCACAGGTTTATATGCACCACTGCTTTTGTCCTGTTAAACATCATGGGAGTTTTTAAATTTCTTATTCATTATGTGGTTGTTTCAGGCGCTTGTTGAGTTTTTTGGAACTCTGTCGAAAGAATGGGCATTAGAGTGCATGAAAGATCTTTTGATGGTCAATCTTAGAGGAAACCTGCAGATAATTGTGCAGGTATGGAAGTATGAATGGATTCTATAGCTTGAAAATAATATTGATTGATAACTATGGCTTGTTGTTGTTGGTCCAGGTTGCAAAAGAGTACTGTGAACAAATGGGTATTGATTCCTGCATAAAGATTTTTGAGCAGTTCAGGTCATATGAAGGACTATACTTTTTCCTGGGATCATATTTAAGCTCCAGGTAACTGTTTCGTTTGGGAGAAATTATATTTTTGCATGTTTTCAGATGATCTTGTTTATAGTGAAAATAATTTCCACCGTATATCTTAATATTTATTTATTTGAATCATATGGACAGTGAGGATCCTGACATTCACTTCAAGTACATAGAGGCTGCAGCGAAGACTGGACAAATCAAAGAGGTGGAGCGTGTGACTAGAGAATCAAATTTCTATGATCCTGAGAAAACAAAGAACTTTCTAATGGAAGCCAAGCTTCCTGATGCACGTCCTTTAATAAATGTTTGTGATCGTTTTGGATTTGTTCCTGATTTAACACATTATCTATACACAAACAACATGCTCCGTTACATTGAAGGATATGTTCAGAAGGTATTATTATTTGGGTCTTTAGTGGGGTATCATTTGCTCATGAGTCCTATCTGCTTTTTTCTCTCCTTCCCTCAAAACCGTTTCATTTTATAGGTGAACCCAGGAAATGCTCCTTTAGTTGTTGGACAGCTGCTTGATGACGAGTGTCCAGAAGATTTTATCAAAGGCTTGATCCTTTCAGTTCGTTCTTTACTTCCAGTGGAGCCCCTTGTGGAGGAATGTGAGAAGAGGTGGTGACGTGGTGTCCATCATGTAATCCTGCTTGTAGTGGTATTCTGTTCACATTTCTGATTCTTCTCCTTTGGTCTTTCGGCATACAGGAATCGGCTTAGATTGCTTACCCAGTTCTTGGAGCATCTTGTGAGTGAGGGAAGCCAGGATGTGCATGTCCACAATGCTCTGGGTAAAATTATCATTGACAGTAACAACAATCCAGAGCATTTTCTAACTACCAATCCGTATTATGATTCTCGCGTTGTGGGCAAATATTGTGAGAAACGTGATCCTACCTTAGCTGTTGTGGCTTACCGGAGAGGACAATGTGATGATGAACTTATCAATGTCACAAATAAAAATTCCTTGTTCAAACTACAAGCCAGGTTTGTTACTTGTATGTAGTCTCTCTTGATCATTTTTCTCTGCTTTGATGCTTACATGCTTATGTTATGATGACAGATATGTGGTTGAGAGGATGGAACCTGATCTTTGGGAGAAAGTTCTTAACCCTGACAATGCCTATAGAAGGCAACTTATTGATCAGGTTGTGTCCACTGCTTTGCCTGAAAGCAAGAGTCCTGAACAAGTTTCTGCAGCTGTTAAGGCTTTCATGACAGCTGATTTGCCTCATGAGTTGATTGAACTTCTTGAGAAGATTGTGCTTCAGAATTCTGCATTCAGCGGAAACTTCAACTTGCAAAATCTTCTTATTTTGACAGCCATAAAGGCTGATCCGTCCAGAGTCATGGATTACATAAATAGACTGGATAACTTTGATGGGCCTGCAGTTGGAGAAGTGGCTGTAGAAGCTCAGTTGTACGAGGAAGCCTTTGCGATATTTAAGAAGTTCAACTTGAATGTCCAAGCAGTCAATGTCTTGTTAGATAATATTCGTAGCATTGATAGAGCTGTGGAGTTTGCCTTCCGAGTTGAAGAAGATGCTGTTTGGAGTCAAGTTGCTAAGGCTCAACTCAGGGAAGGGCTTGTAAGTGATGCAATTGAGTCATTTATCCGAGCTGATGATGCCACACAATTCCTGGATGTTATTCGTGCTGCTGAAGATGGCAATGTTTACCATGACTTGGTGAGGTACTTGCTTATGGTAAGGCAAAAGGTGAAAGAACCCAAGGTAGACAGTGAGCTCATTTATGCATATGCAAAGATTGATAGGCTCAGTGATATTGAGGAGTTCATCCTCATGCCGAATGTGGCTAATCTTCAAAATGTTGGTGACCGATTATATGATGAAGCCTTATATGAGGCTGCAAAAATCATATTTGCTTTTATATCTAACTGGGCCAAGTTGGCTGTCACGCTGGTGAAGTTGAAACAATTCCAAGGTGCTGTTGATGCAGCAAGGAAAGCAAACAGTTCAAAGACATGGAAGGAAGTTTGCTTTGCTTGTGTTGATGCTGAGGAGTTTCGTTTGGCCCAAATATGTGGGCTTAACATTATTATTCAGGTTAATTCTTGATTTGCATTTACATTTTGTTTTCATGAACTAGGGAGGCTTGTCTTAAATTCAGTTTTTATCTTATTTATATTGGGGGCAATTTGAACCTTCAGAATATAATGGCAAAATAGTATTTCTAAAGTTATGTTGTGAGCTGGTAATGACTGGAAGGTCACTGTGCTTACAGTTTGAGCTCTAGCTAGGACCTCATCACTTCAATTACTGTTCTGATATTCCTTTTGAAGCATAATTTCAATTTTTTTTTATTCTGATGCTTTAGGTGGATGACTTGGAGGAAGTAAGTGACTATTACCAAAATAGGGGTTACTTCAATGAGTTAATCTCTCTCATGGAGAGTGGCTTAGGTTTAGAACGGGCACATATGGGCATCTTCACTGAGTTGGGAGTTCTATATGCTAGATACCGTCCCGAAAAGCTTATGGAACACATCAAGCTCTTCTCAACACGCCTCAATATTCCAAAACTCATCAGAGCTTGTGACGAACAACAGCACTGGATGGAATTGACCTATTTGTATATCCAATATGATGAGTTTGATAATGCTGCAACTACAATCATGAACCATTCTCCTGAAGCATGGGATCACATGCAGTTCAAAGACGTCATTGTCAAAGTTGCTAATGTTGAATTATATTATAAGGCTGTTCACTTCTATTTGCAAGAGCATCCTGATCTCATTAATGATGTCCTGAACGTCCTTGCACTTCGTGTGGACCATGCACGTGTTGTTGACATAATGCGAAAGGTATAGCATGATCACTGACAGATATTTCACTGAATCTCAGTTTATAACGTGATTTCTCTAGTTTTGCCTCTAACAAGTATTATACTACAATGAACTTTAGGCTGGTCACCTGCGTCTTGTGAAGCCATACATGGTTGCAGTTCAGAGCAACAATGTATCTGCTGTTAATGAAGCGTTGAATGAGATATATGTTGAGGAGGAAGACTATGATAGATTGCGTGAATCAATTGATTTGCATGATAACTTTGATCAAATAGGCCTTGCACAGAAGGTGAGCTACATTTCTGATTCATGGGAACCATTTCCTAGTTTCAAATTGCAGAAACCTGATAAATTATTTTACCTATACAGATTGAGAAGCATGAGCTTCTTGAGATGAGACGTGTTGCTGCTTATATTTACAAGAAGGCAAGCCGGTGGAAGCAGTCCATTGCCTTGTCAAAGAAGGATAACCTTTACAAAGATGCGATGGAGACAGCCTCACAATCTGGTGACCGTGAACTTGCTGAGGAGTTGCTTGTATATTTCATTGAACAGGTACCAGAATTAGTTCTAAATGGCATAATCTTACTTTCATATTGAATCTGGGCCGGGAGGAAACCCAAACAAAAAAGATGAGATTTTTAATTTTATTTAGGGTAGACTATATTGCTTTGTTATAGATATTGTCAGTGGAATGCAACGTACTTAATGGCTAAATGAGGCCAAGCCTTCATGTTTGCATGTGTATACACATGACTAGACTAATCCATTATTGTGGTAATTGATATTACATGCAGTTGCTTGTGTTTTTTTCTCATATGATGTGCAATTATTGGTGATACAGAATTTGCTAGCTACTGTTATTTTTGTCGTCTTTGTCAAGCATATATGGTGGCATTTTTCATTTAAGAGTCTCATTCAAAGTTCTTATGAGAGATACTGATTTAATTTTCTTACTTGATGATCCACTTTCATTGTGGTTTACGTTGATAGGTTGCACGGTGTCAATATATTCTAACTGCTCTTTTCCTATGATCATGCAGGGAAAGAAGGAATGCTTTGCCTCATGCCTCTTTGTTTGTTATGATTTAATCCGGGCAGACATAGCTCTTGAACTTGCTTGGATGAACAATATGATTGATTTCGCCTTCCCATATCTCTTACAGGTTTGTATTCTCTCTGCTAACTGTTTCCTTGTATCAGAGAACTTACGACTTTTATCTTATTTTAAGTTGTAATATTAGGCCTCAAGTAACTTATTGATACAGGATGGTGTGCTCTAGTCCATCCGCCTATTTGGTGTCCCAAAATTTGTGCTTCCTGTTGGATAAAACCTTTGTTCATGGGGAGTGAACTTGAGTGTCTATAAAGACTGGCATCTCTCATATAAACCATTTTAAACAGTAGCTTTGAACCTTCTCTATGAATTATCACATTGGTTTTTCTAGCGTCTGGTGCATGTTGGTGAATTGAAAAATGGGACTAATAGGCAGCTTTTATGTAAGGGGGTGATGCTTGGCTTATGCATAATGCAAGTTATATGGTTTATTTCTTGCATTTCACTTGTGGTTTTATATGGGATAACTCCTATGTATTTTCTTCTGCCTTTCTTGCATTGAACTGCCTTTATGTCCATCAATACCTTGGCAGTATCTGTTTTCACTATATTTTCTTTCTTCTCGTAGTTCATACGTGAATACACTGGTAAAGTTGATGAATTGGTGAAGGACAAACTTGAAGCGCAAAATGAAGTGAAGGCTAAAGAGAAGGAGGAAAAGGAAGTAATCGCGCAACAGGTAATCACTTTGGCCATTGCCTGTTGTCTTTGGTATAATTTGACTTCAGCAGAGAACATTTCAGCAGTTTAACTCGTCAGAAGCGAGAATATCTTGCTGCTGATAATTTCTATTCTTGTGGCATGTCATTTCCCGTCAGATAGGACGTTAGGTTGGTACTGATTCAATGTGGTGTGTTTTCTGTTGCAGAACATGTATGCTCAGTTGTTACCTCTGGCGTTGCCTGCACCACCAATGCCAGGAATGGGAGGAGGTTTTGCTCCTCCCCCTCCCCCTCCTATGGGTGGAATGGGGATGCCTCCGATGCCACCTTTTGGCATGCCACCTATGGGCAGCAGCTACTGATATAGGAGCACCTGCGGAGTGAGCGATTAACCTCTAGCATAAGCAACTGGGTGCTTCTTGATTTTTGCGTACGATTCTTGTGGGACTTGTTCGCCCAAGGGAAAGTATAATTCTTATGAGACGTTGATGCAGCATGCTTCCTGGTTTCTGATGCACGTGGACATTCAAGTTACAGTCGTGTCATGTCTTACTTGGGGGGTTTTCGTGGCCTAGTGTTGGACGTCTTGTGATATTTTTGTAGTTGAGGCTTTTTTCTTGTTTGGGCTGCTATACGAGTTAGCCTGGAATTGCCTTTTTGTACCCTTTTCTTTTTCTTGTATTCAATGAATTGGTCCCAGTATAATACAAAGTACATCGACATCAATAACTAGGTTGATAATTGTTAATTGATATGCATGTATGATCTGGAGATTATTTCCGCTTTCGTTGTTATGGATGCTCCATAAATAAAGCTTAGTAGTTGTTTGTTGAATGCGTCTTCATTCCGTTGTGCTGCGACTTGAATTCTAGTTAGCTTGTTGAATGAGTAATGTGCTCAATTTTTTTTTTTTAAATTATAGTAAAGAGGGTTTGAATCCTGAACCCTGGCTTCTTATTTTATCCCTTTGTTATTATTTGAGCTTATTTGGAGTAGTTTTATTCACGTTATTGTTACCTAGCACCTTGCATCTTGGGTTTTTTGATATGATGAGTTGTTCGTGGATACTCATTCAATGAATGTTTTACATAATATGATATTAAGGGTTTAATTTAATTAAATAGTTAATGATTTTGTTATGTAATACCCAATATTAAATCATAAATCTTTGGAAGGGATATTATAAGTGAGTGGTTTAATTGTGTTGATTTTGAATTTTTTGAGAGAAATGTATCTTAATCATTTTTAGGTGTCAATAAAATCCAACAGTTGCAGTTGAGACATAAAACACTCATTGAGTCTAAATCCAGCATCTTGGTCTCATGAACCCTAGCATGTTTGACCATCCTCCGGTCCTCCCTTCATATATTGGACCAAGTTGTTCACAATGTTGTTCGTTGTACTTTGTTATTTTTGAACCGTGAATGAGTGCTATCAATGTTTGAGGTGCTAGCAAAATGTGGATTGAAGAACCCACGTTTAACTTATGAGAATTCAACTTTGAGCCAGCGTGGCGGTGTCCACTTGACCAGTTAAAGGTTCCGCTACAATGGATTTTACCTTATTTTGGGTCCTAATATTATGCACAGTAAGAAATCTACTCATTTAAACAATTATAATAATAAAAAATCTTATTCCATGAGGTGAAATGTGTTATATGATTTGCACGATGTTATTGTACTTCAAGGGATGAGCTTCATGATAACCAAGTTTTTTTATCTCGTGTAATACTGCATGCATAGTGTGTATAAAACTAAGTTGTGTTGTGAGGAATCTGAGATGAGCTGTATTATTTATCAATGGATAATGGGATTTTTTTATTGTAATTTTATGAAAATCTTTCGAAAAGAAAATTAATAGTTTTAATATTGGAACAATTACTGGATGATAAAAAAAAATATTGGAACAATTACAGATTTCGTATTTTGCCTACCAATGGCATACCGCGACGGTGCGACCCGTTAAGGCAGGATATTAACTTTTTTTTTTTTGGGCACAATTTTATGTCTCTTTCTTGTCACATTTGGGGCTACAAAACAAGCTGAAGAGTGCTCTTGGCTTAGCAATATCCGGAGTTTGCCTCCGCTCTTTATGAAACGGTTCTTCAATGCTTGAGGACCCTTGCACTAGATGATTTCCCACTTGATGCAATGAACTTTTAATTTAAAAGCCTACTTAAAAATAAAATATCTAAATACGCTCGTGTTTAATTTTAAACGTCTCAAATATACTTTAAAACTATTATAATATATAATATATAATATAATTTATCAATTACAATATATAATAATTAAAAGGACTTATCAACTACAATATAATGTAATAATAAAATAATAATATTAAGATTAATATATAAGTCTAATATGATTGAAAATATAACTCAAAATAAAAAAGAACAAATTGATTAAAAATCCAATGAGAAAACTAATATAATTGTGATATATTACATATATATATATATATATAAATAGGTTAACTTGCTGGGCTTATAGGTTAGATCTTAAAAAAATAAACCTGACCTATTGAACTAAATAAATTTAATTAAAGGTTTGAGCCTATTTATTAAGTTAACCAAACTATGCCTGAAATAGGTTAAGCTACAGGACCTTACTCAGAGCCTGACCTATTCCCACCCTTATTTGGTGAGAGAGCTTCCACCCTAATGAATCTTGACTAACTTGTAAGGTGCTCACAAGTTTGGTTTGGTTTTGAGGGGGGAAAAAACCTAGACCAAACCAAACCAATTGATTTAATAATTTGAGACTTTTTTAGTTTTTTCCTCAAACTGATTTGGTTTGGTTTTTGAGTGATTTGGTTTAAGTTTAGATGAAATTTGAAATTATTTGATGAGATATTCTTCTTAATACTAATATATAACTATTAATTATTATTTGCAATAAAAAGACTTCTTGAGCATAAAGGAATATTTTTTTAATAATTAATTAGCATATTTAGCTATTCGAAATTGATGCATTATCTTTAAAACACTTGATTATAGAATTCAAAAATTATCTTAAACAATTATAAATAACATTTAGTTAATTATAACTTATTATTACTCATGATTTACAAATAACTAAACTTGTAAAAGGGAAAAAAAAACTTTAACAGATTTATAAAAATATATATAATAAAGTCTTGGTTCAATTTGAATTAAGTTTTCATAAACAAAGATTTGAACCAAATCAAACCAATTAGTTTTTTTAAAAAAAATCAAACTAAATCTCATTTATAATATATTTTAATCTATTCATGTTAATTTAATTTATTGTGATTGGTCTAGATTAATTATGAACACCCTTAGTAAGTTGATTCATATTAGTTAGAGCCATTGACTTTTAGATATCGGATGGATGTAAAAATAAAAAAGTTTAAAAATTATTTTTATCCTTAAACTATATATAAAAACTTACAAATGCTCTTAAATTTAATCATGGCTTAATTTGGTCTCTCACTTTAAAAATTTTTTTTTTATTGCCTTGTCGTTTTTCATCAACCGTTATAAATTCCCACATTATATTTTTTAATATATTTAATTATAAAATATTTTAAGTTGAAAAGTAAAAATGACTTTTTAAATATAAGTTGAGCGACAAAAATAACTCTTAATTTAATAAAAAATATTAAAAAATAGTGAAATCTATCAATAATTAATGGATGTTAAGTATTTTTAATATCTGAATAATGATAAAGAAAATCTTTTAATTCAAGAGACACAATTAAATTTAAGAGCATTTGAGGTGTTTTATGTATAGGTGAAGGATAAAAATAACACTTAATTCAAATAAAAAACTCAAATGAAACAGAAGGTGACGGCACGCTCTATACAGTGCGTGGCACCAGCAATTTCGGGCCATCGATAAACGAATTTAGCGTTAGCAGGAAAAGGAACTAAGGAAGACCACTCTTTCTCTCCATCCATTACTGGGTTTTGGACGACCAGAAGATGGCAATTTCTTTAAATTCAGTCATGAGCTTCAACTCTTCGGTATGCTTTTCTTTGTCTCTTACTCCACCATTGGTTTTAATTTCAGAGTTTTCCTATCTGGTTCTTTGTGCCTTTGTGGTAATTTGCTGAAACTCTAAGCCATCCTATCTGCCAATCACCCTCTTGCCAACGTTCTGAAAACTGTGAATCACTTCATCCTTCTCTCGCCATTTGGAACCATAAATCTTTCCAGAAATAGAAGGGGTTGGTGGTATTTATGAATTTATACTCTTTTAGTCATTCGGCTTCTACAAAAACTACTTGAAGGTTCTGGCTTGAGTTGATCGTACGCCACGGATAGATTGATCTTCTCCATGTAACTTCGAAGCTATTGCAAATTTTTATTTAAATTTTAAATATATTTAGTTATTTCTGTCCTTGAAGCTTCTTCACTTAAGTAAATGGTATTGCTGCAACAATATTCTAGACGTCATTTTTTTGGTGAAAAAGGAATTGCAGATCAAACAATCGGGTCCGTAAATGGTGTTCTCCATCATTTTGTGTTGGTATTCGGAAAAAAAATGCAGTTTTGTGTTACTTTTTGATTGATTTGGAAATGAGAAGTATTCAGAAATAATACAGAACTTGTGTAATTATTTGTAATGAGGGCGTAGCACCAATTCGATATTGGTTTGACATTGGATTTTTAATTTAAAAAAAGAAAAGAAAAGACCATGTTTATGTTTTCCAACGAATTGATTTGTCATTGTAGCATTTCGATTTTCCCATTTTTAGTTTGGTGATCTTCCACTTATTAGTTACTATTACTTTAGTTAGTTGGCTATATTTATGTTTTAAGAAAATTTTAACCGTTTTAGCCAATCTTATAAGGTTGAAAGGGTAAATTTTATAAATCCTCACTTCACTTTGGTCATCTAAGGATTATAATATTTTTTTTGGTACGAGAAGAGAGGCAGAAGCCAGGAAAGAAACCTAGGCTCAAGCTACGGGGCCAACATGCCCAAATTGCAAACCACTAGTCATAAGGTTTCTAGAAGCAAAAGGAGGATCTGCTAAAGTCACAAACTCCTCATCCATATCACGTGGATCTTAAGCAAGCTAGTGCGTGGAACAACCTAACTCTGCTAAGAACAATAGTATTATGCCAACTATTTAATGTTGCCATGTAAATTTATCGCAAGTTTGAAATTCTTCTCTGAAAATGTAGCCTGTACTCTTGTTTCATGGAATAAGTTATTGAAAGAAACAGGAAAGAAATGTACAGCTTCTTTTGGTGGAAGAGGTTAAGGAGTTATTTTAATGTTGAATTTTAGATGTCCAATTGCTATTGTCTAACTCTTGAATCATCTGCTTTGAGAAGTTTCACCTACCTGCTTCTAGTGTCTATGGCAAACATTATGGGATTCTAAAGTTCATGGCTTGAGGCTGTGCTAGAATGCGTTGAAGTTTTGATGATTCACTGGGAAATATAACAGATAGAGGTTAGGCAGAGAACATAAATTTAAGGTTCGGTTTGTGTTTCAGGTATTCAGAGTATTAATTAGATGGTAAGAATTAGGTTTCTTATATTGGTAAATGTAAGAATCTGTTTTAAGGTTTTCGTCAGATTACAGAGTATGGGTTAGAAAATACTCTTATAAAGTTGTGATCCACTGCAACGTCTTTTACTGCTAGCTGCCAAATCCCCTCACAGGTAAGACTGTAGGAGTATTCTAGGGACTTCCGTTTACATGACTGATGCCCTATTCATATTTAGTCTAGTTTGGGTTGATTGAAGTGAGAAATATTGCTTGTCGCTCTCTAAGTATATTATGGCATATGATGAAGTTTTAGGGTTTAGGGAGCTGTTTGATGATACCAACAAGGATTTTACTGTTGATAAAAAGCACTGACTGATAATCTGATGGATTATCAATGGTCGTTTTATGTTTATCATCATCAATCACTTCATTGCAATTTAGCTATGGTTTTAGCCATTGTCAGTTTTTTCAGTACTTACATGTCTTTCATTTTCTGTCAGAAGCTGGAACCCAAGTACCATGATGCCTCAAGATACCCTGTTGGAGCTTCCCTGCCAAAGGCCACTAAGCTCACACTATTCTTGGTAACATCAGCACGAAGAATGCATGCCAAGGAAAAACGACCCGGCACCGTCTTTCAGTTGCAGATAGTGATCAGCTTGCCGCAGATGCTGATGGCAAAAATTCTTCTGGTGATGCTGGAGGATCACCGGCTAATGATCAGTCACCATCCATAAATCCACCTCTAGAAAATGTCCAGTTCCAAGCTAGTGCTAATGCCAATCCCAAATCAAAATCTCAGACATCGGAGGTTTCCAATGGGCCAGCTGTATCTCCTAACTTACAATCTACAACGAAAAAATCTCCTTTGACTGCAAGAGAGAGGCTTAGGGCAGCTCGAGTCCTTAGTAGGTATACAGAATCAAAAGAATCTTCTAATAAGTCAGACATGGGAAGTAGAGTGTTGGATGCTTTAAAAGAGAGTGATCGTGGGAAGAAAAGGTCAAGGCTTCCGGAAGCCCCTACAAATTTATTTGATGACAACAAAAGGGGGTTGCCCAAGCCAGGATGGACCTTCCAATTTCCTGGGGGTTTTGATCTGTTTATCATTGCCTTTTCATTTGTTTTTATCAGTACTTTGATGTTTGCAACAACTTACATCGTCTGGAAAGTTGGTGCGATCCATTTTAATGAGTACTGAGATGAGGAGTTGGTAACTGTCCACCAGACACACAAAAAGTTCATAGATGTGTGGGATGAATATGCTTGTTTGGACAAGCTTCAGCTTCTTCAAGGCCTGATGAAGTGAAGTGAGGAACTGAAGATCAGTTTTTCTGATTATAGATTAAGATACTTGACACTTGTTATCTCTTGGGAGGTAGGATTAAGATTTGCTTTATGCAGGATGTACAAGTGAGTGATCAAATACTAGCTTGGTCTTAAAATGCCATGTATATGTATCTAGTCCTTTGCAGTTGTTATAATGCTTCCCTAGACTCTTCTTTCCCTTCCGTTGTTATTGATGATCTCTTTGTGCTGACAATATGGATAAAATAATAATATCGGAAAAAGGTATTGTCTTGTAAAGCATTCAAAAATTCTTCTAACTAAATACTCTATTTGTCTCAAATTAGAAGATAATGTTAAAAAACAATTTTGTCTCAAAATATAAAACAATTTTAAAATAAGTTTTATTAATAATATACTTTCAATATCATCCTTCAAGAAAAGAGAGAATTAAAATAATATTGTAGTGAAATGATTAAGTGTGTAAGGAAATTTTTAAAAGTTTATTGTTTTGTCATGAAAAAATAAGTTTGTAAAGTGTTTGTGTTTTGTTGGTATGTGCAATTTTATTTTAAATTATCTTATAATTTAGGATGGAGGAAGTAATTCTTTTCTTGATATTGCAAGGTTCTTAGATTTTGTTACAAGCTAAATTGTTAGAAATCTATATAAACAAGGTTAAAATATGCTTTTAGTCTTTTAATTTTATATCATATTTTTATTTGATTCGTTAATTTTATGATGTATCTTTTCAATCCTCTAACCCTAATATTGTTAGTTTTAAATGACTATTTTTTGTACTAATTTGTTAGTTTCTTTTTTTTTTTGAGCAAATACTAATTTGTTAGTTTCAAATGACTGTTTTTTATACTAATTATTGTTTTTTTAAAAAATAAACTTAATATGTCAACATTCAAAAATATTTTGTCAATATTTAAAAGTTTAATGTAAATATTTTTATAATAAAATTAATGTTGTTAGGATTAAAGGATTAAAAAGAAATTTTATAAAATTAAAAGATCAAGATAAAATCTAGTATAAAATTAAATGATTAAATATATAATTTAGCCTGTAAACTATGAAATCTAAATGTAGGTGTCAAAACTTGTTATTCCTCTTGTTAGAGTTGGAATACGAGCGAGCCCGGCCCTTATAGGCTCAGCCCTTGAGGGCCTGAGCTCTAAAGCTCGATTCCCTATTTTGAATCTCATTTTTTAAGTTCGGCCCTTATGTAAAAGGCTCAAGGCCGGACCTACAAGCCCTTTTTTAAAAAAATAAAATTAAAATTAAACATTATAAATTAATTAAAATATTTTGAAATTAAAAAAATAAAATTCTCATAATTTTTTAAAAATTAAACAATACACATTTAAGAGTCTAGTAATAAAATTTAAATCTTAGTTAAAAAATAATTTATTTTTTATAAATATACAAATATAATAATTATAGAAAAATAAAAAATATCAAGAATTTTATACTATACACTGATATTTATTAAATTATATTAAATTAATTTTAGAATAAATTAAAATTAATAATAATATAATGTGTGTAGGATCAGGTGAGTAGATCATTGCTTCAAACACGTGTTCCATCAAAGAAAATAATAATAATAATAATATAACAGGGCTTGAAGGGCTGCCCGAGCTCGAGCTTTTTTTTATAGGATTTAGCAGGGCCAAGCTTCAAGCCCAATTATTTTAAAAAAAAATTATTTCCAAAGTCTAAACCCTTATTTAAATAAGGCCTCCAAGTCCGACCTTTATTCCCGACTCTACCTCTTGCTAATACCTATCAATTGCTCTCTCAATATCAGAGTCCCAGGGAGTGGTATCTCCTATCCTTTGGTTTTTTATTACAAGTTTAGTATGTTGAAAAGTTGTTTGTTTTGTTTTTGAAATGCCTGTACTTTGTAAGCCGTTCACTTGTTCTTAATGAATATGATTCCTTTGTTATTAAAAAAAAAGCTATATCAAAAAGATTTTTGAAGGAACAGAAAGAGAAATAAAACCAATAAGAGTTGGTATTATACCAAAAAAAAAACTAATAAAATTGAATCTAACGAAAGAGGCTAGTCCCTTACAATGTCATAGATCAAATTTCAATTTTTAGTAGGAGAGATGCCTATATTTAACACTCAATCGTGCTTTGTAAAAAATTACCTTTAATAAAAAGATATTTGTAAGCAATAAAATAAATAAGGAACAAAATAGAAATAAGTATGGAAAAATAACGTTTGGGATGTGTTAGAAAATAAAATATTCATCTAAATAATGTTTGGTATGATGAAAAACAAAGAATAATGGAAATAAATATCATTGAAATGGCTAAAATCAACCTCATGAAAAAAAAAAGATAAAAAGGTTAGGACTGAAGAGAAAATATCAATTTATTTCAAGGAGAAGACAGTACCTCTCCATCACTTTATTGATGGGGAAAATTGAAGACTTCTTCCTTTTTTTAATTAATATTGAAGTTTTCCTTTTCCCCTATGGAATGTGAGTAGAAGTGGCATGCCATCACACCACTCATGGTTTAAAGCTTTTTTATCGCCTATTATTCCATTCCCCATTGCACTATTCACCCACATACCAACCAAACAATTCGCTAATTTAAATTATATCATCTATAAATTAGAAATAATATATGACTGATTGGTCAAACTTGCACTAGTCAATGCGGTGAACATGTTTATTTTGGATGAATTTGGGTTCAATTGGGCTGATTATTGGTACAAGGGCATGAGATGACCAACAGTGAAGATTTTGTACCATTTGCTAAATGGAAGCAGCGATGGTAAATGGTAGGTTACTTTTTTTGTGGCTTGCTATATAAGAGTAAAACCAAAATGCTATATATAATTTTCACTTGTCATTGCTTATTCCCATATTTCAATCGATCTTCTGCCCCACTTTGAGAATGATGAAGGATATGTCTTATGAACAATAATTGGACCTATTCTCACCCTTCATTCCACATCCAAATCATTTTCATTTCTTCCCTTCTCTCTTTTCCTGCCTAATAAGTAAGTTTTGATACATTTATTACTATTCCATGATTGTACCTTATATTCTCATATTTATCAATAGTTTTTCCCCTGTAACTAAACGTGCTCTCAAACTTATCTATCATATTGCCCTATAAAACACTTACAGCCACGTTCAACCAAAAAAAAATTGTAAAATTTATCCCTATTACTTTCCTTTTGACCCTGCATCATCCAGAGCTAAAATTGATGGTAACAAAAATTCATAGCATCAAAAAAATTTCCAGAGAGTAATGCAGTAATTTATTTATAAAACTTATCTCTGAAATATTTGCATATTATATATATATATATATATATCAATTATGATCAACTTTATGTACATAACAATGGGACCAGAAGCACATAGGCTAGCAGCAGCATCTTAACGTAGGGTGGTCAAGAACAGCTTCTCACATTTTTATCATGAAGCTTCACTTCACTTGCCGACTATATACGCACATCAAAACATGGACATCTTTGTGAATCTGGTGATCAAACCAGTGAATCATTAAATCAATACCTTAAATGAATGAAATGCTTTCTTTGTAATAAGTCTAATGGCAATTTCATTATAATTTTAACTATTAATTTTTGAACTAATATTTTGATTGAATCAATCATTAGTTCTTGTTTCAATATCTTGACGGCCTTACATACATACATATATAAAGATTATGCAGGGAGGAGGATATAGGGCCCTAGTGGCTGAGATTTCAATCAGACAAAAATGAATGGAGAGAAAGATGGCGAATTAAAATTAAATACGGAATCAATATGGAACCACAGATATTGTAAGAAATGGAGGACTCACCTCACAAACAGAGAGAGTGGTTGATCAGAAGTCTTGTCACTCTTTATTATGTGTTGCAAGAGTGAAACCATGGCCCTACCCTTCTCACTCTAATTCAATCTTCTTTGTTTGCTTCTCAATTTAACTCTGTGAGTCCCACCTTTCCCCTCTCTTTTACCTTTCAATCAGATTGATGATGCAAACCAAACCATGGAGATTGGAACCAACCTACCTTTCATCTTTCTAAATTATTAATGCCTTTCTTCATATTCAATGAATCTAACTTCACTTTTGAGATTTCTTCATCTGGTCTTGCATCTGTCTCTGTTATCTTCTGGTCTAGCTTCGTCTTCATGGGCAAAACCAAACTCTTTCATCATTTGAGTCCTTACACTGCTCTTCAGCTTCAAGGCTTGTGTAATAAACTAAACCCTGTATATTGATTACTTCATGGAAAAGCAGAAAATGACAAGTACTATAAAAGTAGTGATTTTGGGATCTGGGTTATGCTCCACCTTCCTAGATTGTGATACTTTTTGCGTCGTACGTTCAAAATAGTAATCATGTGCTAAATCTTTTACTGTTACCATATCTGGCTATGGCAAAGCTCCAGTACGTAGTAATGATTCCTTAATCAATTATGGCCACTAACCGAGTTCTGCTTCTGATGATATCACGTGATTATACTCAATAGGATCTAATTTAGTCCTTTAAACATGAATTAATATCATCTTAAATTGGGTTTGTTCGTTTGTTCAAGATTTCCTCGATACGATAGAATTCTAGTCCAAAGCCCTAAGTCAGCAAGGAGACTAATTAATAATTGATGTTATTACTGTTAGGCCTTGCTTTTCCTCTTTTTTTTTTTTTTTCCCCCCCCCCCCCTCCTTGAACTTAGATTCTTCACAGGTCCAAATCTGTTAGATTTATCTCCAAGGAAAAAAAGAGATAAAAAAGAATTCAGGTTGAGGTGACAGCAGAAACAGACAAAACAGATTTTCAATTTGACCAATAAAAGGTCACTGCATATCACACCAATCGCCTATCAAGATGAGGGGAAAATGAGCCATTAATAGTGCAGGAAACAGTGTGTAGCTAGCTGGAGTTGGAAGACGAAGAAAGATAGTAATAATAATAACAAAGAGCATGAGAAAGCCAGTGAGTGTGTGTGAGAGAGGGAGTACTTAGAATGAATGATTATTTGTATTGTGAGAATGGAAAATTTCTACTATTCTAGTTCTGGTTCTAGCTGGTGGCCTGTGCAGGGCACAAACAGTAATGGTCCTTCTCCCTATTCAGTTCAGACTCCAGTGTTGCCTCATCACATCTCTGAATCATGCTCTGTTCAGTTCTGTGAGTTCCCTCATTCATGGCCTGCAGAAGATAAAGCTGCCACTGCGTCCAAGAGCCATAGCCAAGCTGAGAAACGTCGTAGGGACAGGATCAATGCACAGCTTGCCACTCTCAGAAAACTCATCCCCAAGTCTGATAAGGTAACATGCATGATCTGATCATCATTCTCATGCCTTCCATACTCAGTTCTTCTGGTATTCTATTCATGTTCTGAACTTTAGATTATGTTATATTTAGATTCCATCCACGTTAAGCCCCCGACATGAACGATCCGAAGTCTAGATTTACATCAATTGAGTTTAACTGGGATCACAATGAGAGAAATCTCAAGGTTCATGAATGAGCTGATTGACCTAGTAATGAGTTAAATAACTGAAATCCTGTTTTAGTGAGAGGGATTTACTTACACCGTCAATTTGAGGGTTGCTTATTACCTCCTATACGCTACAAGAATCTTATGATTACTGTTCAAATCTAATCAATTGGAAGAATAGGTGTTAACCCTTTAATTTGGAATTCTGACGAGTGATCTGAACTCTGAAGTATCAAAACTCGTTTCATAAATGTGTTCCATGAGCCACAAGTCCATAACTGAAGCTAATAATAGATGAGTGTGGTTGCAGATGGACAAGGCAGCATTACTGGGGAGTGTGATAGAGCATGTGAAGGATCTGAAACGAAAAGCCATGGATATAGGCACATCCTTCACAGTCCCTACAGAGATAGACGAAGTATCAATAGACCAAGACGAAAGCCCAAGCTCCATCAACAACAAAGCGAATTACAAAGTGAAGGGAAACAATAACATAGTGATAAAAGCTTCAGTGTGCTGCGAGGATCGACCAGAACTGTTCTCAGAACTCATCAAAGTGTTGAAAGGGCTGAGGCTGACGGCTGTGAAGGCAGACATAGCCAGCGTGGGAGGTAGAATCAAAAGCATATTGGTGCTGTGTTCTAAGGACAGTGATGAAAGTGTTTGCGTGGCCACTCTGAAGCAGTCTCTTAAATCTGCTGTCACTAAAATTGCTGCTTCATCCTCATCAATGTCCGCTGCTTGTCCTGCAAGAAGTAAGAGGCAGAGGTTCTTCTTGCCTCCACCTTGCCTCCACTGATACTTACTTTCTCAGGGCTATTCTACTGGGTGTTGTTATAATTATTTTTCCCAATATTTATCAAATATATATAGTTTTATTTTTTTAAAAGATTATTAGTTATTATTCTTCACTCTTTACTTGAAGTATATTTATAAAAAAATGCGTGGAACCAACCTCTTCTACGTGAGTTCCAATCCTACTTACTTTCATTAAAATGCTTTGTATGTATCAAAATTAAATAAAATGAAAAATGACTAAATAATTATTTTAAAAAAATTAGACTATTTTTTTGAGAATATTTTGATTTATCTTACAGTTTGAAAAGTGATTTATGTATGTTTTTATATAAGAATATTTGTGTAATTTGAACGTTTATTAAGAACGAAATTAATTTTCTTTCCGTTGTATTAAAAAAATGAATGAAATTAACTTATCCTTTTCTATTATTATATCTTTTTTGGAACTCTCTTAGGGAAATTTTTTCCATTGGAAGACCTTTTAATAAGTTTCGCTTACATTGGGTATGCTGCGTATGATTAGACAAAATTTAAGTACATTTTGTAATATTTATTATGAAAAAAATGACGATCACACGAACAACTCCGATCAATCTTATCTGTTAAAGTGGTAGTGAAAAATCAAAGACAGGATCAAACTTTTTCTAATGTCAGATTTAGTTTTCCAATGATTTTGGTGTGCCACAAATTAAGGCAAAGTTAAATGAGAGGATATTATTTTTAGAAGGGGAAGGAGACAAAACATAAAAAGGAAGTTCAGTGTATGCGGCCGCTTGATGCTTCCTAAGCAAACTTGAGCATTTTAATGTTATGAAAAATGAAAATGGAAAGTAAACAAGTTGGGAGAGAAAGGAACGATGGCCACTTTCATGATAAAGGATCTCATCCAATCAGAAGGATAAAGCACAAATGAGGAAAAGAAAGAAATCAAATCCCCACTTATCTTTTTTAGATAGCTTTGCCTTCTACTATCCAACAAGGTTACTGATTAGAGACTGAACATTAGTTCCTTCACAGACACATGCACACCACTGCTCCTATGTCTTCTTGATGAAGAGATTGAAGTTCTAATCATGATAATTTGAACCCCTTAAACATTATTTTAGAGATTGATTTCTAAACGTGTGCATAAATGGCATTGTTTGAGAAAAAAATAACATTTTAAATGGCGTTCAAATTTCTCAAGCAGCTGTCACCTGAAAAGATATCCTAAAAAAAAAAAAATCAATCAAGATCCAATTGAGTTCTATGCATGTGTATATAGTTTGCTGACAAATAGCACTTCCGTCTCTTGCAATAAGAGGTCTTTCTGGAATTTTTTTTTTGTATAAAAGATTTTGTCATTTAAAAAAAAAAACTGGACCACTGTTCCCCTTAATTCTTTAAAAATTGCAAGAAGAATTAACTATGCTTTGAAGAGGAGTCTTCCAATAGACTGAGTCAAAAATGGAACAATGGTATAATTTCATACCATTTTAATTAAGTAACTGATTTTTCTAGTACATGAAAAACGATTAAAAACAACCCGTGAAAAAAATGAGGGGAGCATATGACTTTGTCATAATTTATAAAATATTTTTAGACAAAATCACAAAGAACAAAAAACTCATTAAACAGACTTCACAGCATTTTTAAAAAGATAAAAATATAAACTTTTAAAAATTTTATTCATTTAACACTTTATTTGTAAAAGAATAGTAAAGAGAGAGAATATAATGGGAAGAGTAATATTAAAAAAGAATTATTAATAAAATTTTATTTACTCCCTCTGTTAAAAATGTAAGGTATTTTTTGAAGGGTTCGATATTAAAAAATATAAAATTTTTTAATTTTTTGAGATATAATCATTGTCTTTTTTTTAAGGTATCCCTGTTGATAATAATGTTATATTTATTCTAGAGTATTTAATGGGGATACATATATAAAAATAAGGTAGTTTGAAAGTAGGTAACTACTTCATTGGGAGGTAAGACTCGGTTAAAAATATTTTATATTTTTTAATGAAGGGAGTATATAAAAATATTTTATTTTCAAAATATGAAATTTTTTAAAAAATATCTTATTAAATGGGATGGAGAAAAAACTATGCTCTTTTGATTCAATATATAAATCACTTTTTAAAAATATAATCTGATTCACTTTATAAAGTCAATTTATTGATAGAATTGTTTTGTTTTAAATTAAAATTTTTAAATTACTTTTAAAAATTAAGAGAAAAATAATAAATAATAATTATATAATTACTTTTTTTTTTAATTGAGGATTATTTTTAAATTTTTACTTATTTTTATTTTTTATATTTTTATTGTATTAGTAAAGATGGGTTAGCAAAAATATTTTATAATTAGAATTGAGGACAGATGAGTGGAGAGAGCGAGAGCGAGGAGACTTTGGGCAAATAATTGTGCCAATGTACAGGAGCTAACGGCTAGTTGCAGAGACAAGAAAAGTAGGTATGGTTTGTAGGTACTTTACTGGCAGGGGAGGCGCTCTCTGTGTACATAATACAACGTTTGACTTTTAGAAATCATCAATCAATCAAATATAAGGAAAGCGCCCCCATTGCTTGCTTGCCGTTAAATTTAATTGGCGAATCTTTGTTCATAATATAATGAATTTATATTTAAATATCTATTAAAATATATATTTAATATTTAAAGTTGAATCGTATCTCAGGGAGTTTGAAATCACTTTAACAAGAGAAAGAAGGAGCAACTAAAAAGCCACATGAGAGAGGGATTCAGCGCAAGTTGATGAGATGGGCTATGCTATGCGTGTGGACCCAAACGTTCAGCCTTTATTTAATTAATGGAAACTGCTGCTTTTTGGATCGTCGAGATAAAGCCGCCCGAACAGTGAGTACGAGGCTGGCTCTTCATACTCTGCACACCACTCAAATTCAGCCAACTCGGTTCTAATCGGGCCACGTTAATCTTTTTTTTTTAAAAAAAAAAAAAAAGAAAGTCCCGGGAAAAAAAGTGTCTCAGCGTAGGATTATAGGATTGAGGTTGCTCGGGGAATGGGGAAAGGCTTTGATCCTAAGCGGCAGGGCGAAAAATATCATAAATAATGTAAGTGTATAATATGTATATTTATGCATGAAACACTCTGCAGGCCTCCATCCATCGCACTCCAATGGACTGGATGATCATTGTCCAGCACATCCATTCTCTGGAGGTGAGCCTCTCATTCAATATTTTAAGACCCGAATCGACCTCAGTATTTTAAGACCCAAATCGTCCCAAACAGTCGTACCAGTTAAACCATGACTTGAAGAAGAAAATGATCTGGTTTAATCATTTGACCCGTTCTGATAGTTGACTCGGACAGTCTTTGAAGACCCGAAGCAAACCGAAACCCAGAGTGGTCGAATCATTTGGACCCATTTTTCAATATCTATGTATATAAATATTATTTTTTATTTAATTATTATATCACCAATTCAATCACCAATCCCGATGAACCATAAACCTCGACCCATTGATATTTTTAATTATTATTCAGTCTGATTTTAAAACATGTTCTTATCTTAAGCTTCAATTAACTTGTCTTCCACTCTTATGTCTATTTAATTTGAAGTTGCTAAGCTAGAGGATCATTTTCTCTCACCCGAATCCATTCAAATTTTTTGCTGATATGTATGCATGTGACTGCGCAAATATATATACGTTTATCGTCGAAATATTGAGCTCCAAAATATACAGCTTACACACACGCTCACATGTTGATCTCTAAGTACTCGATGATGAATTCATTTGCTTCATTTTTTATGGATTGTAGGTAAAATTAAAAGTTGTTAAAGTTGCAGAAACATATATACAGCAGATGTGTTTTGTGCAAAGTCATGCGCTTTTTATGAATTGTAATATGCTCCCTCTAATCCTAAGTGTACAAGTTAGTTTGAGGGTCTTATTTTGATTCTAATTGCAAGACTTCGATATTTTTCGTCTCCTCCTAATTTATAGTTTTTTTAAAACTGTCTTTATTGATTGTCTATAATAAATAAGGGGTTTCATCTACGAGGGTAGTTTTTTAATGTAAATAATCAAGGGGATATGAGAAATCCAAGGAAATCAAAATACGTTTTTTAATTATAAATAACTAACTAATTAATTTTTATAAATCAGTTATTTAGTTTTTACATTTAACATGGGAGAGAAGAGATTGTAGATGTCCATGGAGATATTTCCTTGAATTTATTGTGTATACGATGTTAGAAGAATGGCAAACTCTCTAAAATATATGACAACATATGTATTTTCAAATCATATAATTTTTAACAAGCACCAACCTTTGGTTTGGATAGTGAGAAAATTAGAGATGAAATAAAACTATGACCTCAAGGAGTTATATATATTAGTGTTACTAATGTAGTAAGTACTATTTGCGTGTCTAACTGTAATAACAACTTACAGTTTTTGTTTTTTGTTTTTTTTTGTGTTTTGGGCCAGAGACCAGAGTATTCCTATTCTCATTCCAATTGATCAACTCTTTTTTTTAACGCTTTCCTTACCCCCCCCCCCCCCTCTTTCTTTTCTCTCTCACACCAACCAACGTCCACCTCAACTAATCCCTTCACCACATCCATATCACCATTCATTTTGTGTTCTCAAATTTATTTCTTAAAAAAATAAATACTCTTTTTTTTTTTAATTCCGACCAACATAGACAGGCCTAGCTTCTAATTAAACTAACATATAAAGCGCCAAATTTTATTAGTAACCACCTGAAAAATCTAATCCCTCCGTTTTTAAATATAAAAAAATAATTAAGTCACACAGTTAAAGAAAATTATTAAGTATAATAATTATGTCTAAAAATTTAAAAAACTCAACTAAATTATTCTTGTAATTAATGAAATAAATTTGCCTAGTAAAATAAACATGAATTTTATACAGGGATAATTTAAAATAATAATAATATATGCTTCTTTAAATTTATAATTTTATTTATAAATTAAAATAAAAAACATGGTAATTTTTTTAATATTCGAAAACAAAAGAGATGGAATAACTAAAAAAGATCAGCCACTTGTTACTTGGACATATTTAGGGAAAACCGTTGTTGGAATCGGTTACACAAATGCGAGAAGTTATAACTTCCATTTCTGCTCCTTAAACCCTCCAAAATCTATATATAATATATATATATATAAACCCCACAGAAGAAGAGGAAGAAGTTGAGGAACAGAAACAAATGCGTTGGAACTTCACAAGACCTCATTTACGGTTCATCCCAACAACTCTCCTCCCATCCCCTTCATTACCGTTACGAATTCCACCCTAGTTATAATAACCTTTCTCGCATTTTCGCAAACAGGGTCCGGTCTATCATGGGTCCTCACCTCAACAACGTCGCTTCCGATCGGGTCAAGGGCTCTTGGAGCCCCAAGGAGGATGCCACTCTCATCAAGCTCGTCCACCACCACGGCCCTCGCAATTGGTCTCTCATCAGCCTCGGCATTCCGGGACGGTCCGGAAAGTCTTGCAGGCTCCGATGGTGCAATCAGCTCAGCCCAGGCGTACAGCACCGTCCTTTTACTCCCGCCGAGGATGCCGTCATCGTCCAGGCTCACGCCGTCCACGGTAACAAGTGGGCTACCATCGCCCGTCTCTTGCCAGGACGAACGGACAACTCCATCAGAACCACTGGAACTCCACACTGCGCCGCCGCCGAGCGGCGGAGATGTCTTATGTGTCCGGATCGTCAGAGGCGGACTCTACTGTGGTAATGAAGAAGCGGCCGGAGCCTTGTGATCCCCGAATGAGTCGGACATATGGAAGTCAGGGCAGCGATTGAAACGGCAGTGCCTCCAGAGGATTTCACCGGGAAACAATAGTTACAAGGATCCAATGGTGGACTCTGTGACGACGTCGTTGAGTTTGTTACCCTCCAGAGAGAGAGTGGATGGAAAAGTGAAAGAAGAGAACGAGGAAGACGAATACGAAGACGGAGGCGAGGGCGAGGGCGAAGGGAGTGAGAGCGGGAGGCGAAAGGAAGGGGAAGAGCCGTGGTTGATGAGGATGATGAAGCGCTTGATAGCAGAGGAGGGTTAGGAATTACGTTGATAGTTTGCGGGCCGGTGATAAGCCAGTTCTCAGAATTGGGCCGGGCCTTAACATGGACCCGTCTTCTATTCATAAGTGAACCCATTTCTTATTCTATTAATTAATGTTGAGTTCTGTTCATACAAAAGTACCTAGGGCTATGTTAAGTTCGTGACTTTTTAATTATTTTAAAAAACCATAATATTTTATATTAAGAGTTATGGAAAGATAATAATGGTAAAATTAAATTTATTGACACTTGAGGCTAATTTATATTTTGAAATTTGAATGATAAGAGTGGGGTGGAGTGGTGAGGGGGTAATGATGATTTATATTCAAACCAACTTGGATATAGAAGAAAATTCATCCGAAAAACATATTGCTGGCTCCGTCATTATGACCCAATATCGTCCAATTGGCTTAGAGGCAAAAGGCCCATTGAAATCTGATTTCCACTAGTGACATGTCTCTCTACACCTCAAAGGTAACCCAACAATAACTAAGGCCAGTAGCATATAATATAATCAAGCAATATAAGGGGCCTACGGCAACTTTTTTGCTGAAAAAAATAACAAAAGAAAAAGCCTCCAAAATACAAGCCACGTCTCAACGGTGAAATGTTAGATGTAATCATGGACTGCTTTTATGCCAAACTCGCAAATTGGTCTGATTGGAGATGAGGCTTCAGAGAGATGCAGTGCGTGGGAAGATGAAAGAGCTTCAATCATTTTATGGACGTAAATAAAGCTCTATTAGAAGCAAAGAAAACTCCCAAACAGTCCCCATCTCCCCTCCCTTAATTGAGTGGGTTGATAGTAAAAGGTGTCAAAATAATTATGGTTATTCAAACCTATCCTAATGATATCATGCACCAAAAAAACTAGGATCATTACAAGAGAAATTAAAGAAAACACTTCAATCTCTGAAGATAAGCTGTCTAATGCCCAAAATAAGCCCATGCAGTAGGCGCTCACAACAGGAATCTCTAGTAATAAGATTGTAACTGTCACATCCACCTCAATGTTTCTATACCCCTCACTCCAGCACCTTTGAATACAAATTTTTAAAGGAAGACGCTGAATACAAATTTGAAGTTAAGGATGAGACTGGAAAGCAGTGAGAAACTGATGCAAAACTCCAAGCCTTAACAGTTGAGTAGCAATTAAGAGGCTTGGACAATCTGAAGCGAGCAAGATTCATAGCAGTCTAAAGGACACAGATTCACGCAACCTTTTTGAGAGCAAAGAAGAAGGATAAAGTCCTCTCTTCAGGCTTCCCAGTTCCCAGCTCCCCCTCCCTCAAGATTGTCGCATCTTTCAATCTCTTAAAGCGACTTCATTCCTATCGTCGGCCAAATCCTTGTAAACTGATTGAAACTGACAGTTGCGTGTCTAACAGGCTGCACTTTGATGTAAATAATGGAGACGTATTTTACTGTTATCAAGCATGAATCATTTGGACAGGGGAGAGAAAAGATAGAAGAAAAGGCATTGCTGGAAAAGAACAAGTACATCAAAAGTAAAGAAGTTTCATATAGCTTCCCTTGCTATGACCCACATTTGGTAGATATGATGCACTAGAATTCAGGGCCAAGTCAAAGTCCTTTCTACAAGTTTAGGACAATAATGCGATCCACGCCAACCGGCCTATGTATTTTTTCATGGATACGTTAAAAGCAGGTGGAAAAGAGGCAAGGTTAAGTTATCACACGGAACTAGCACATGAATAGAAGCCCCCATAACATGATGATAGATAGCTGTGCATATCAATCATAGACCAATTATCCAACTACCTACCACAGTACCACTTCCCTTTTTACCTTCAGCATTTGTTCTTTGCATCTAAAAAAAATTACCATTGATTTCTTCTTTTTTCGATTTCAACCATTGATTTCTTCTGCTCATCGAACAAAGACCGCTCCCATGTAAAATTCTCCCAGCTCCAGCCGCTAAAATTTCCTTCATATTGATTATTATACATAGGGAAAGCAAAATTATAGCATTCAGTTGCTCTGCTTTTTTATCTCAAAAAGCGTGAGAAACATGAAGTGGTAGTAATAAGTAGTGCTAGTCTATTTTCTCAGAGACACAAGGCAAAGAAAGCAGCAATCAAACTCAGAAATATATAGAGAGAAGTGTCATTGTCTTTCATCTTTTGTTGATTTGGGGACCCATCCCAAAATGTCTTTCCATTTGCGTGCCGAGAAGTTGGACCAATATATGTTCAAAGCAGCCCCCACACACAGTCATAGCTGACTAAGAAGAGCAACTTCTCTTATAACTTTTATTAAACAAGTGGCGTCCGGGAGCACTAACCAACTTTTGATTATCCCCCATTACTCCATCATCTCACCTGAGAGCGAGCACAATTCAACATTCTCACAAACAAACAACTCCACTGTCTTCATCCTGCGTGCTTATTTTATGGATAACAAACATTCCCAGTCTCAGATAACGAGAAAAAAAAAATCTGTTGAGAAATTGGATCCTAACGTATTAAGCACAGAAAAGTCATTCACAATTGACAATCCATTTTCTTGTAATTATCAAGTATTAACCAAATCTTCCTACATGATTCAAAACAGAATCAAGCTGAAGAAATTTTGTTCTACTAAACAAAAACTAAAAGAGAAGATCACAACTAGAATTGAAGGTCGATTCTAATTGGTGGTTCCTGAATCAAAATCTCTGGAAACGACGAATCAACATCAACTTGAATAGAAGCTCTGCAGAGTGGGCAACTGGAGTGATTAATAAGCCAGTTATCGACACACTGACAATGGAAACAATGACTGCATCCGGGCAAGACCTTCAATTTCTCGCCATCTTCGAACATGCTAAGGCAAATACAGCAGTCTGTTTCCTCCAATGCGCAATCGGAGTCCGACGGCGCCTGGTGCAAGATTATCGGCAATTTCTTGATCGAATCAAGGTCGAGACCTTGCGACGGCGGAGGGGCCGCGTGACGCACCTGACTGGAGTGGAAGGTAGTGGGAAGGTGGTCCCGGTACCGGCAGATCCATCGAGCGCAGAGGAAGAGAAGAATAACTAGAAAGATCAAACAGAAAAGAAAGACGATGAACAAGACTTTTCTGCTGCGGACCTCGAGGTTATGGTTATCCAGCTCCGTGTAGTGCCAATTGAACACCTGAGCGTCTTGCTGGCTTGTCATGGTGATCCTGGTGAAGCAGAGATAGCAACGGCGTCGAGGTTCGAGGTGGCGGTGGAGGCCGTGACTGCGGCGGACTGTCGGTGGCTGCGTATGGTGGTGGAAGAGAACTTCGCCAGTGGTAAAATCGTCGTGTCATAAAGTGTGAACGGAGTAGTGTTGTTACAGTAACTATACTACTATTGTTCTGAGTGTTAACTCGGCTAGTGAGTGTGTAGCAGAACCATCGGGCCAACGTGACTTATATAGTTACGTTCGAGAGTAGACATACTCGCAGACAGAGCGCGTGGGGAATTTGAAATTTTCATGCGGTAATGGTAGCGATTGAAAGATCACTGCCATTATTCATATTTTAATTTATTTTACTGTTTTCGCGCTTTTTAAAAAGGAGAGCAAATTTTATAACCAACATTTCTAAGTGCAGTGCATTTGCCTCATGGGGAAAATATATATTGAATGATGTTATAGTGAGTAATAAACTTTAGAGCAGTCAGGCCAAAAAATAAATAAATAAACTTTAGAGCAGATTGTATAATTTTAATAAAAATATAATAAGCATACAAACCTTAATAGAATTTCAATTATGTGAAATTAGATTAACTAAAAAACGTTTATTTGTCTTAAAAATATGCATTCTTAGTTCATCAATATGAAAATGTAAATATTTATCACAAAATTTTAGAAGATCAGGATTGTTATTGATACTTCTTAAAATTACTGCTAATTCTTAAAATTATAACTTAATATTTACTGTGTCATAAGAATTTTTAAATTTATATCTATACAAAACAGTTGATAATTTCAGAAAACAAAGATGATATAAAAGTGTTTCCCTAAAATCTTAGCAATTATCATTATATGCTATATAATTTCAGAATCGATATCCGTTATATTTTTTTTTTGTCAAAATATATAGAGGGTGTTTCCTTACTATATAAGAAAAACACGTTTGGTGTCACGTCGAAGGAAAAAGAAGAAAGAATTGAAGTGACAAATTCATATTGCTTTTTATTGGCCAAACAAATTCATTTTGCTTTTTATTCTAGAAGGCAAAAACAGCATCAATTAAAGAATAGTTCATTTGCCGTGCAAGAACAACACATATGCATAGTAGCCGCCATTAACTATTAATTACTAATTATTATTATTATTATCATCATTATCATTATTATTATTATTATTTTATTATTATCATTATATCCTGTATTTGTTAGTGATTTAAATTTCTTTTTGGAGGTCAATACTCGTATATTGTATGTAGATTTGTTTCTAATATTATTATTTTTTCATTGCTCCATATCTTTCAAGAAATATCCCCTTAACATAATTGTTTAATGATATACTACATATTAATGCAGGTTTTGAATTCCAGTTGCAAGAGGTGAGGTTAGTCTCTAAAATTTTAATAGACTTTAAGGTTACATTTAGTAAGGAAAGGGTTTTAAGGGAACGAGAAAGCTAAGGGAATAGGAACTAGTGTGCAAAAATATATAGGCCTTTCTTTTATGAAACTAATTATCTTACATGTTTAGCATGACTGGATCAAGGAGTAAAAATATTTAAACGCAAAAATTGAAAAGCCAAATAAAGGATAGATATCAATATCTATCCTTGATTTAAAAAACAAAGTGTATAACTAGCCTTTACAGTATAAAGAGTTGTAATATTTTCATCTTTAACTCAATTCATACAATATTGGATAAGTGAGGAATTAATAGAGTTTAGTGGGAGATAATCTAGACTTTAGAACACGTCTTGTGTGTTCATGACACGTTATGAGGTAGCAAATAAAGAGAAGCAACGGTGTTGGATAGTTATCATAAGTTGCTTGTAAGAATACGACAATCGTGAGCTGGGAAACACACACATGTGGCTTACGGCTCATTAGCTTATTACGGATCATCAATAAGCTAATTATAATAATAACAATCACTTAACAACTCTCCAAAAACCAATTACCTGGCAGTAATTATATTATTCAACTTATCTCTCCAAATAAACTCTCGCCCTCATATTCTAGATAAGATTAGAATGTTCAACTTTTAACCTTTTACGTATTTATTTATATATATATTTGCAGGCGCCCATTTTACTGGGGACTTGCATTCACAATTGCTTAGTTTTTATTTTGCGGTGGTAAACTGTAAACTCCAATAATTTTAATCGATGTTACCGTGCTGGATAAGTTTAGTCTCACGTTGCTTATATTATTTAGGTTGAATATATAAAATGCAGGCGTACATTTTATTCGAAGTTTGGATTCATATTTCCTTCATGCTTTTTTTTTTCTTAGCATAATTCATTGGAGGATTTCTGCCGTCCAAATTTGACCCATTGTTCCAAATTGATGCTTTGAAAATTATATTAAGCACAGTTTTTAATTTTTAAAAAATCTTGAAACTGCTTTCACAAATAACGTTATAACAAGCAAAGTTTTTTACAGTTAACTTAGGTTATGATTAGATTTTAAAAACAAATTGAATGTACGACACATTCTTATTAGAAAAATTGATTGAGATATAAAGAATTAGGTTCATGAAGAAAAGAAAAGGAATTGCACGTGAATTTCATTTTGATAAATATTACCCCCATCCTTATTATAAAAGCACCTTCTAAAAGAAATAGATGGTCTTTATTAATTATAAGTCATTAGATAAATTATTAATTTGAGGTGTATTGCAATAGAAACTTAGAGTAGAAAACAAATTGAGGGTGTTGTTGCTTTGCTCGTTGGTCATAATGTGCGGCAAGTTATTTCGGTCCACTAGGATCAGATCTTTATTGATGAAGAGGCTTCGGCTGGTTCTATTATATTCACTAACGGATAAGATATCAAATTTAACCAACGGATAAGGATTTTAATATTTTATCCCATCCCAAACCTAGCCAAGTTCACACTTCACCACACTGTCATGGGAAAACGTGTTGCCGGTTGGATTATATTTAAAGTTTGGATGAGTAAAAGATTAATAGTTCAAACTCTTCACTTTAAGTGCGGTTTTGCAATTTCAATATGTTTCCATTAAATACTTTCTTCTAACTTCATCCTTAACAAGTGATTAATTTGTGCGTGATTTGTGGCAAATCAACTAGTCCCCCACAAAAAATTCTTAGATTTAATAAAGGCCATTTAGGAAAATTATCTATCACTCATTAAGCTGTTTCTTGTGCTTTTAAATCTATATGTCAAAATCTCATAATTAAGGAGGATAGAAGAAGTAGATAACTTGATGGACGGTGTAATTTTACTAAATTATTATTATCATATATTGTCTCTGTTTTTTTTTCGTTTTTTTTTACCTGATTGCAAGGTATTGTTAAGCGCGTATTAATTCTTTGTTAAACAGTATAAATTGGACAACAAAATTTTGATAAACCAGCAAATAAAATGGGAGGGATTATTGTATAGACTATGGAGAGCACTACAAACTTTAAGAACACTGTCATTATTGTTTTAGATATTCTGAATGACTTCTCTGTATATGATCAGTCCAAACAAAAAAAAAAATCTTTGTTAATATCTGGGTAAGATTATCCATAAGACATATAAATGATATAGACCAGAGGGCGTGATCCATTTTAAAGATTTCGACAGGCTTGGCAAGAATATATATATATATATAAAATATCAAGGAGTTGATTTTTAAAACTTAAGTCGCCGCAGTCAAGGATCGAAACCGGAGATGACTATACGATTCACACATTTTAGGCATTATATCAAAAATTAGCTTTATCTTTCTAATATTTGCAAGGTAATTTTTCCTCTGTCTTTAATATAAGGAAAATTTAAAAAACTTGATCCTTAATAATATAAGACAAACTTAAAATAATTAATTTTATTTTTTAATTTTACCATTGTATATTTATCATGATTTGGATTTCTAAAAATAATTTATTATATTTATTAATTGCAAGTAAGGATAAAATTAAAAAATTACACATTATTTTTATATTTTTAAAGAATAAATAACCAACATTTCTTAAATAAGCAGTAAGTTGGATTAGCTTTGCTCTGTATTAAAGACTAGAGGGAGTATGTCTTAACAAGCAGTCAATAACTAATGACTTTTGTGACGTACGGACTCCTCAGAAATGGACTTTACCTCTCTTGATATGATATAGTAGCCGTGAAATTACCACCTCAAACAGTCACGGAGGAAAAAAACCGAGTATGGTCCTAAGAAATATTTCTTTTTTGTTTAGAAACAAAGAAGCTGACATTAAAATTCACACAATGCTTAGGAAGTAATTAACAATAATATTTAGTAATTCGTGATGACCTTTGAGATGACTGCTGCATATGGCTCTAGCCAGATCATGCATGGCTTCACCTTTGAGTGAACATTGATGGGTAGATATGGACGAATACGCAATCATGAAAGAAATTGGATCACTGGTTTCACTGCAACTGAGGAAAGTCACTGTTCATAAATACTACAGCTGGGGGTCTTAATGTACGATTCTTCATGAAATCAAAGATTTGCTGGGAAAAAGATCCTGAAAGGCTGCGGTGTATGCTAAATTTTCAAGCGGTACTTTTTTTTTTTAATCTTCCAATCTTTCTTTCAAAAATAATTACTCAGAGAAAGCTTTAAATCTAATTATTAATAGGGAGTTCTCTAGAGTAGTCCATCATTTGATGATCCATTTCGATCAACCATATTTTTTAATTTGTAAGACTCATGAATGCGTTAGTTGACTAGTAACACGTATTGAAATTTCATTGACTTCCAAACCTCCATATGTAGTGTCGAGATCTCTTATGTAAAATTTAGAATTTGGAGTTTAGGATTTACTCCTGATATATTCTATTGGATATTAAAGTTTAAAGTTTAAGATTCAAATTTTAGAATATTTACAATGCACATTTGTGCTGTTTAGATTGATGAATGAATTTTAAATATAAAATTTTATACTCCTTCCATTCAAAAATATAATATATTTTTTTTAGAGATTATATGTTAAAAAATATAAGATAATTTTTAATTTCTAATTAATGAGTACTTTTTCAAAAATATCCCTAATAAGTAAATTATTCAGACATTTATTTTTTAATAAGATACCTTATTAAACAAAAGCAACACATGGAAATATAATATTAATTTAAAAATAATTAATTAATAGTATTAATTTAAAGATGATTAATTAACTCATTATGATGTGAGATTCGATTAAAATGCCTTTGCTTTTTTTAATTGATGAGAAATTAAAAAATTCATATATTTAAAGTTATTTGCTTAAATAGTGTATTTTTTTTTAAAGGTGAATTGAGCTTCAAAGCAAAAACAAAAAGATTGAGAGTGACAAATTTACTTTTATTTATTTAATTAGTGAGGATAATAAAAAATAAGAGAAGAGGTGAAAATAAAAGAGACGTTAACAATAAAAATAAAAAAAGAGAGTTAAAATAGTTAGAATTTTAAATAATTAGAATATAAATTTAAAATTATAAAAAAATTAAAAAATAAATATATTTTTAAATATGTTAAACATCTTTCAATTAAATTACCATAAAATCTATTGAATTTTAAAGTTTAGGAATTACAGTCAATGGAGCAGCAAAAAAAAAGTCAAACATGTATATTGTTTTTATTGCAATGGATTTTTTGACACTGTATTTTTCAACTTTTCTTAAATTTCTTGGCGAAAGAAACATTTTGTTTTAATGCCTTAAATACTTTTTTTTTTTTTGTGAAATAATATCTAAAACGTCTGCTAGTGACTGTGAATGAGATATGACCGGGAAAGTATCAATCCAAAAAAAAAGGGTGGGGCAAAACACGCGGAAAACCTTACGACACGCATGTGACTCCGATCTGACTAAACGACATTCGCAACCGTTCCGTACCTTTCAAGCCTTTCCTTTTCAACAAGCAACTATTCGCTCCAACCCAGCCAATCTGGCTTCTCTCCGAATCTTGTTGCCTTGATTCCTAGGTCCCACCCTTCCAAAAATTTTTATTTTATTTCAATTATATTTTCTCTTTCTCTGTGCGTTCGTGTGTGTGTGTGTGTGAATTAAGCTAAACCAAAACATTCATGTCGGCCTGAAACTACATGCTTGTGTTGATTTAGTTTGAAATTTTAATCGAAATAATTTGTAAAAAGTAATACTTTTTAAGTTGATCACACATGATAATAAGCTTTTTCTCTCTCTCTCTTATCTTTTGGGTCAAAAATAACGGTCAAAGCTCAACAAATGGAGTGATGTGGACTGCACGGGTCAGAGGCAAGTCTAGCTGTAAGCCCAGCTTTCCAACGGGGACTGGGCCCATTTCGAACCATGAAGCCCAATTTCACTACAAATTTGGTAAACTAGGCTTTCACCTAAAATGTGATAATGATATTAAAGATATATCCAAAGAAGTTTATGGGAGCCACGTTGGGGCAATCCCATGATTCAATTTCATGAGCTTCTTTCTTTTACTTTATCTTCCTTTAACGAAAAAAAGATTATTATCTTTTCCCAGGCGGGAAAAGGATTAAATTTAGATATTGATGTACACATCTTATACTTTTCGTTTCAATGTTGGGCGATAACGTTTGTTACATATCTCAAATGCAAATGCTCTGTTCAAATTCCAACAAAACAACAGCACGAGAAAATCCCATGGTTTGTCATGGATGTCAACTATAAGTGGATCTAAAGAGCTAATAAGTACACAATCAAAATTAAAATTGAGTTCAGTGGAAGCAACTAGTTGTGATGAATAAAAGTTCGTATGTATTTACATTTAATGTCTAATCTTACCTTGAACAAAATTGTTATCAATACAAAGATATATACACTTGCATTGTTTTGTTAACTTTTACAAGGTACTTTTAATCAAATTATATTTTTTAATGAATTATCTAATTATCATTAAAATTATACAATATTTTCATGGTCACTTATTTAATAAGATGTATCAATTAGAAAATATTTTAAATTATACCCCTTAATTAAGGGTTTTTTGGGAAAAATCTCATTAATTGTGTGTGTGTGTGTGTATTTTGGTGATATCTTACTCTATATCTTTGAATGGATGGAGTACCACTTATACTCCTTGGTCCTATTCTAAGGCAAAGGCATTTTAATTCCATTTATAGGATATTTTTATAATTTTTGTGTCTGTCTCTACTATTATATGCTAGAACAGTTATCATGATGTATTTTATTTTTAAAATATGTAATTTTAATTGGAATAAAGTTAAAAACTTGTTAAACTTTTACATAGGATTATGACATTTACGATTCTTTTTTTTTTTTTTAACTGAATAACGATGCTCTATGTTGGAACACTTATACATATTACATTTTCAAAATAAGATAAAGTCAAAAGACCTGGAGCCTCCCCCCCCCCCCAAAAAAAGTTGATAAAAAAGACATTGCTAAAAATTAAATCAAATTTATGAAACCTAGCTACAAATTACAAGGGTGAAGTGAATTTGCTGAGAAAATGCTTTTGACTAGATTATTGTTTCATGATTTATACGAAGTTTAAAGTTTGCTATACCAGTTATAATGCCATTCAGTATAATAAGGCACTTTTAACCCAATTGCACCTCCAATAATTAGTTACTCCTTCCATTAAAAAAGATAAGGTGTTTTTTTAGATGTAATTAATTTGCTTTTACCAAAAGTATCCCAATAAATAAATCATTTTATATTTATTTTTAAAATTAAATATGTTATTAAATAGAGATAAACATAAAAAATTATTTTAGTTTAAAGACAACTAACTACTTTATTATGATATGTAATTCGGTTAGAAATGCTTTACATTTTTAAATAAAAGGAGTAGTTAATTATATTTAAAAATTATACTATATCTATGTTTACCATTTTCTTAATAGAATATTTTAATTAAAAAATATTATTAATTATGTCTTGAAAAATTTAAAATACCTTATATTTTTAAGGTGATGCATTAAAAAGTCACATAATATCACCTGTCTTACCTTCCTTTTCCTTTCACTAAATCAAAATTAAAATTTTTTGAGCCAAAACAAGAAGGGAGAAGTAATTCCTTTCTCTTATATCTAAAAGTAGGGTTTCTTTAGGAGTTGGAGTCTCTTGAGGCATTTTTAGATAATATTCTCTTTATAACAATATTTAGAAATTTCTTAAAATCTCTTCCCTTCCCATTCCTTAATCAAAGAAAGGATTATCTCTTCTATTGAACCAACCTCAATCATGCGACTCATTTAATTTCTTAGATCGTACAAAAAAAAACCTTCCTGATAGTAATAGTAACAAAATATATCAACATACTATACATCATATAAAGTTAAGTACTAATACTATAATCACCATAAATCCTAAATTCCTAATAATCACAACCAAGATCATTATGCCAACATCTGGCGATGACAATGGGGCGAGATATGCTTGGTAAGTTCCTAATTAGTATTTAATAGCTCATTAATTTTCTATACTTTTGTTAGGTACTATGCAGGTCAGGTCATATATAACCTTAGGTTTTTTCCCGCCTCATGCCAAAAAAAAAAACACTAATATTCCATGAAGGCCTCATCTCGTCCCAAAACACACGGCAAAAAAAAAAAAAAACATGATCATATTCTATTTCTCTACATATAATTATAAATAACGGATCACAAAACTTATGAACAAGAATATTTTAGTTTAAAGGCAAGCCTCTTCCTGGTCAAAAATGAAGGAGGAGGGAGACAACAAACCTCTTTAATCATTAAGTTTAAATCGTAACATCAATTATTTTTTGGATATTAGATTTATATTAATAATCTTAGTATTAGTTTGGAACAGAACGCATCAAATCTATCACGCATGTCCGATCCAGATTTCATCGCAACCCAAACCATAAAAAACGTTTTTGTTTTTTTAACCTACTTCAAACACCAGTTCAATATTACCAAACATTAAGGTGTAGAAAAATATATAATACCCGTAAATCACGTAGACACGAATTTCATGTCAGATGTTAAAATCCAAAACCCTACATGCATGAAAAAAGTGGGAAACTGATCAATACATTTCTCACAAACACATCGAGTAAACGAAGCAGAAAATCCTAAATTATGATGTAGATAACGCGATTAGGCCAGGCATACCTAGGATAACTACTAAAGCTATCAAACAACGTATATTTAGAAACAATATGAAAACAAATTATAATCATAAAATAAAGGTGTAAAACACCCTCTCCCCACCAAAACACGGATGCAATTATGTTCTTGAATTCGGGGGTTTCTCACTCTTCTGGATACATGAATATGTCATGCACATGTAAAAGATATATCTAACTTGAGCTTAAGCCCGGCCGTAATTTACCGGAAAAAATAATAGTACTGCCAATCGCCCGAACATAATGAAAATAATTACAGGAGAGGTTTGCAAATGATGATTCAATTATATCACAACCATGAAAGAAAAAATAGATTATAAGTATTTATAAATTACTAAGAGTAAGTAATATGGTAAAACTAGGAAGCCACGAAACCCCTACATGTTCCAGAATCTTAATTGCTAATAATGAGGGAACTCTCGGAAATACAGAACATTTGGAAGACGTTTTGCAGAAAGTATATTGAATCTTACTTTGCTAAGTTTGCTCAATCAGCTGTTATCACAAGTAACGATTCAGCAGCGGTGCAGTTTAATTGAAAACAGATATGTCCATAGAAGCATTGATTAAGCAATATATATATATATATATATATATCAATCATACCTGCTTAAAAGTATATATATCTTTCCTTGTAAAAAAGAAAAGGCATTCATCTGACCAAGACAAAGATATCAGCAGTACCTATCTAGCTATATGTGTGTGTGTGTAGCTTGCCCTGAGAAAAACCTGGCATAATTGTATTAATTTCCCACTTGGCCTCGTTCAGATGATCGATTCCGATGCCACATGCAACATTCTTTTAGACAGCAGAACTGATTAAATCGATCAGCCGCCACCCTTTCTTCCCTCTTCCTCTTTATTTGTATCAATAAATTGCAGGATCACTAATTGATAGTTTCTACTTGACATTCCATCTCAAAAATCAAAGAAGAAAGGATCATTATAGTCCCACAGAATAGACGGGTACTCCTCCTCATTTGACATCGGCCACATAGACGGCGATCCCACACTAACTGCTCCCGCCGCTACTGGCGGATCCAGAGCGGCCGTCTGCGGCGTAATTATAGTCTGGGAAGAAGAACTCAAGCCTGATCCTACCATGGAGCTTGTATTATCGTACATGCAATCACTCTGCCGACTATTCTTCTCCTGATTTGACGCATGCAGATCATGGCGACTATGGTTTTGGTACAAGGTTGCTGCTATAGTGGAGTCATCGAGATTAGCAGTATAATTTCCACCATCGGACTTCGGGGACCCATATAACTGCACCACTTTCTGGGGATGATGTTGCCCTTGCAGTGCGTTGTTGACAGGGCAGAGAAACTGAGTATTATAAAGCCCGTAGGGCAAGAAGGCGGAGGTGGCGGGGGGACGGGGGAGCAAGGGGCGGAGGGTCTGAGCAGAGGAAGAATTAGATGGGCGAGAGGAGGCGGAGGCGGAGGAGGAGGAGGAGGAGGACGATGGAGAGGGCTGGAGGTTGAGCTGGGCCCTGGAGCCGTACAGGATGAGGGCAGCGCGGTCGTAGGCTCGGGCGGCGTCTTCGGCGGTGGCGAAAGTGCCGAGCCACTTGCGGCTACGCTTGCGAGGCTCGCGGATCTCGGCGACCCATTTGCCCCAGCTTCGCTGCCTGACACCGCGGAACCTAAACTTATTGTTGTCGGGACCACCTTTGGGTTTGGTTTTGCTAGAAGAAGGATCAGTGGGTGTGTCGGCGGCGGCTTCAGGGGAGTGAGACGGAGGTGGGGATGAAGGGTCGCCCATTGGTTGGAGGGTTCAGGAGGTGGGATTTAAAATGGAAGATCCAGAGAGGCCATAAGTTCATTGTTGTCTTCTCATCCCTCGCAGAGACTGTTTTCTTTTCTGGTGGAAAAGCATTGAATGTCAGCTCTATAAATGGTGGAATAGGGCGGCGCTCTCTCTCTCTCTCTCTCTGGGGAGAGAGAGATTTCTGTGCAGTGAAGAAATTACAAGAGACGAGACGAGGACAGGTGCGCATGACCTGGGAATTTGGGATTCTTCTTTCTTATCCTTCTGCTCTGAATTCAATTTCGGAGCATGCTTTTGGTTAATAATTTCCTAGCCAGCTAAATGAATAGAGTGATTTAATTATGACTTCTCATTTCTTATTGCCAGCCACCATTTTTTTTCACGTGGAATTTGAATTAAATCCTTGATTGGTTTGGCGTGAAGGGGGGCTCAAACCTTAGTTAAAAGGCTGACACATGCGAATTTAAATCCATTGGAATTTGTGAATTCATAAGTTTTTTTTTTCATTTTCTCCCGTTTTATTATTTTTAATAAAATATAAAATCTTCTTTTTAAAAAAAAAAATCACAAAAATTTACCAACCACACCTACTAAACTCATGCATGGCGAAAGGATCTAGTCATTAGATAAAAGGCCACTAGGAGCTCCACTCACTGCAATGAGCTTGAATGAAGTTTCAAAAGTTGGCTGGACTTTTATTTTTCTTATTTTAATCTAAATAGCTTTTCCTCCCTAAACCTAAGTTACATATATCAAAAACTATTTTGACTTGATTTTAACACGTTCAGCTTGCAAAATTAATTTTTAAAGAAAATTTATTCAAAGATAAATTATGTTACAGCAGGTGATTTTTTTTTTTTTTGGGTGGATGAATCAGAAAGCAACGAAACAAAACAAACTAAATTACGCTAAAGCAGCAACGTCCAAGAACGAAGGGAGAAAATTAGCAGCTACAAGTTGTAATCCCAAACGAATAGACAAAGCTTTCTCAACCAGGAAATCAGCTTCCTTATCGAAATCCCTCTCAATATGAAACCACTGCAAAAGGAGTTGAATTTCAGAGATAACCTCTCGTTCAGTATGTGACTCATAGTTGGAAGACTTAATCAGATTCAGAGCTTCCAAAAACAATCACTATCAGTAACCCAAGCCCTTTTCAAACCCATATAGCAGGTCCACAATTCTGCCTTTAAACTGTCACCTCGCTCAAGCTTGAGCATGATAACGCTTCAATGCAATTACCCTTATAATCTTTAAATACCCCCCCTCCACAACTCACCTCACTCTTAGATCGAACAAAAGCCCCATCCGCATAAATCATAAGATCATCCATAGTCATATTACGAGGCTCCTGTTGTAGCATGGAACTCGTAGCTAGCAACTTCACACACACATTGTAACCGAAGACGTGCTTGAGTCATACGCCTCAAGATTGCAGTCGCCGGGGCAATAATACTTAATTTCGACGGGGGTTCGTTTATTCTTGAAGACCCTTTCATTTCTACGCTTCCAAAGTAACCAACAAACTAATGCAAACAGATCACACCATCTAGTCAAAGTCTGCTGCACCCAAAGGTTAAGTTTACACCACTCATGTCAATCTGCAGAAAAGAACTCACGTACTCTAGATGGATGAAGAATCCTCAACCACACCTTTCTAGCTTCAGGACACTCCTTGAGCACATGAAGGCCTGTGTCTTAGATTTTTATCAAGACTGGAGTTCGTAAAGTTTGACGTATATAAACTTTGACTGTTTTTTTTTAATTTTAATCCACACACTAAATGATTTAATTATATATACCAAATCTGTTAGGAAATTTCAATTTCCCCCCTCAAATATCAAGAAAACATAAATTATTCTTTTTAATTTTTCCTTTAGCCACGGCTAACCACCACAATTTCCAATTCATAATTACTCATTTCATATTATTTAACACACAGGTAAAAATGAAATCAACAATAACCTATACGAATACCATACATAATACATTGTATTGTAATCCATCTGATTAATTATATTTAACTATAAGTAATTTCCAACATATTTTATCAAGATCGAGGAAAATATAAAAATATTAATTTTGTTTAAAAATTTAATTAAATTTATAACTCTGTCCCTGTTAAATAGGCATGCTTTAATAACATAATTTTTCCCACTAATATTTTATGGGAGTAAAATGAGAAACTTATTGTAAAAATTTAATGACATGGTTTATATATACATACTTAAGATAAAAAAATCATTCTCTCTGTCTTATTAAACAAGAGAGGAAAAAATCGAGATCCTATACATACTTAAGATCAAAATAAATCTCTGAATTTAAAACTGAAGGGAATATAAAATTTAAAGGGTTAAAAGGTAATTGCACTTTTAAAATATAGTTTAATGTTTTTCTTTAATTTTTAAAAATGAAACCATATTGTCCTTATTATTAACAAAAAGTTAATTTTAATCATTAGTTGATTAGATAATTGCAAAAAAATACCCAAAAGAAAAATATAGAAAAGGTCTAAGAAATACATTTTTTCTCAATCCCTTTTGAGATTTTTTTTATAATTTTTTGATCGGGTTAAAATTAATATTTGTCTACCTTGTACATCATGTTGTGCCATCCAAAAAATGGATACCTCTGGACCTACAATTTAAAAAAGAATTTGCCATTTAACCCAAATTTAAAATGCTAAAAGTAGATCACGAGTCAGCTGGTTCGGCTGCATCTTCACTTTGCACTCCCTTCCCCTTCTCATTTTTCTCGGTCACTTCGACAACTCAATTCCTAGAAACCTCCTTCTCAACGTCTCATTGTTTCTTACTTCCCCCCGGGAAACGGCAATTGTTTAAAAAATAAGGGCCTTTTTTGTTTCTATTTTAAAAAACACAAAAAATTTAAAAAATTATTGGAGGAGTGTCCCAATTATTTCCAAAACTGCTCTCATTTAAAAAAAAAAAATATCTTAACCCTGTTTTCATTTTATTTTTCTCATTTTTAAAATACATTACATTCAGTTTTTGAAAATTACAGTTACTTTAACTAATAATTACCATAAGCCACCATCATCAATTGCTGGTGACTATCATCATCAACTAATTTTTTAATTTTAAAAATATTTTTAAATTAATACAACTAAACTGATTTTTCTTTTGTTTTGTTTTGAAAAATAATTTTAAAAACTGTTATTCCAAAACAATTTTTAAAAATAAAGAATGAGAATACAAACGAAATAGGCCTTGAATATTATTTAATTTCTTTTATTCCTCATTCTTTCTGTATGCTATATATCAATCTACTAGAAAAGAGTCCTAACATAGCTTGTAATTAATTAATTTGTTCAGAATATTATTGATTGCAATGCGAGGCAGAGAGTCACAACAGATTTCATATGTTCATTTTTTTTTAATACTTAAAATTGCTATGCTGATGAATTCGCACGACATGTCACTTGCTTCCAAGGGAGCTGCTCTATTTACAAGGAGGGAATAGCAAACGTGCATTTTTGTGGCATTTGATGCAAGAGAACCACGTGTCAAAACGCGCGTATGCTGCAACCAAAAAAGGTTAGGGAAAATTTTAACAAGGGACCCTTGACCAAACCCTTCAATTTTTGAAATTTCATTGAAGGATCTGTACAGAATTGCCTTTGAATTTGTGATGGGGACGATAAAATTGCTCTCATTTAAATAAATAATATAAACAACTTGTTCGTTCTCACGTTGTATGTTACTTATTTACTTATTGAATGTTGTTTATTTCTTTACTTCACTTATTTATAACTCTAGTTTTACTTAATTTTATTTTAAGTGTTGATTTTATAATAAAATGACTTATTTGTTTTCATATTTTATGGTGTTTGTTTATTTACTTCACTTATTTATGACCTTGAAATGAAATTAAATAAAAATAGGCCTATAAATAAGTGAAGTAGAGAAACAAATAATATTTTATAAATAAATTAATAATATATAGTATTAAAATGAATAAGTCGTTTATGTTGTTCATTTAAATAAGGATAATTTTATCATTTTTGTCACTAATCTAAATAAAATTTTATATGGATCTTTCAATAAAATTTCAAAAATTTAAATTTTTTTTTATTATGATTGATTAAGGGTTCCTGAAATTTTTCCAAATTTATAGTTTGTAGCATGTTACTATTTAATAAAATATATAGAATCAATAGAGTAAGTAGGAAGAAAGGCAGTGTTTAATTTGTGAAGGATGTGAACCGGCATTGGAGCAGTTACTCTGGGAATCGCACGCGGAAATGTCAGTGCAGCTGCACAATGCAACTCATCACAACCCCACCGCTACTGCAACGCCACATACAATAATGGATCTCAAAAGTCAAGCCCCAAGCATAAAAACACAAGGAAAAGTATAACTGTTTTATATTTTAGTGTGTTTTGATACTGGGCTTCATATTTATTTTGTAGCACCTACTTTTTTAAGTTTTATTTATCTGATTTATCTGTAACATTAATCCTTTTCCTTACTAGAGGAATTAAATTTGTGAATATATATATATATATATATTTCTGTTAATTATATTGCCGAGTTGGTAAAATCCTGCTTGTTTCCTTTTGTTTTTTATTTATTTTTTATACTACTCATCATAATTTAAAAAACTTAGCATGAGAAGTAATGGAATTTATGTGCATGTTAATCGCCATTAAATTCTCATAGTAATATTTAAAAATATAAGGATTAACATAGCAAACAAATGAAATTTACGGGATTAGGAATAAAAAAAAATTGATACCAAAACACATTAAAATATAAGGACCAATGATTGTATTTTTTCAAAACCCGAGAACATAGTCCATTCGTACTAAGGTCTAACATGCCAAAATTCCAAAATCATGTAATTCAAAGAAATTCCACAACTCAATTCATGCAAAATCATTGGATAAAACCAAGAAAGCCACAAAGGCCATAGTATAGTCGAACAACCATATATTGACTCTTTTTTAAAAAAAAAAAAATCCTTCACAATTGGAGTAAACATTAATTGGACCAAATTAGGATTATTAGTAGGCCTGATATGGAAATCATGCAAATAACATAAAGCCCTTCCATTAAAAAAAAAGTAAACCAATATCAAGCCAACAAATAGTAAACCAATAGGTTAGAGACTTGCTGGGCACAGCACTGATTCTTCTCAACTGCTTCGCCCTCCTCACACATATCTGACTTTTATTTCTTATCAGTCATCTCTTTAAGCTATTTGAACTTGTTTGGACAAAAGAAAAAAAAAAATAAGAACATCAGAGTTTTAAGATAATTAAATAAGGAGAACCAAAGTGTTCACTAACAATAATCCGGCCCTCTGGTGCTCATACCCTTGACTCCCAGACACGCATAATATTAAATTGGATAAAATATTGTGAAATTAGGTGTTCGTGAAGCTGACAGTATTATTATTGAGGCAACCAAGCAATTATAGGAAAGTAGGAAACAGAAGAGTCTAAGAACAATGAACCTCCAATTACAGTATTAAACTAGAAAGCCCAGTTTATACAATGTACACCAAATAATCTTGAAATTATATTCAAAATAATCTCAATAATCAATTTTATCTCACAGATATCCAAACGTATCTCTTGATATCAGTTTTGTCTTCTGACCTCAGCCTTTAAAATGTGTGAAACAGGTCTAGTGGAAATAGGGAGGATAACAATCACGTGAACAAGAAGTAAACAACACAATGCACATCACAACATGGCAACATTATCCATACAAAGTGAACCTGTCTGCTGATGCACATGAGTGCTGTATCCCATCAACCATTACCACAGGCTCATAATGGTGTTTCAGAAGCAGACTTCACAGAACTATCAATGCTCCTCTGATTTTTGAGACCCTCGACTTCTCTTTTCCTCAATACCAGATTGAGAAAATCTCTTTCGAAGAACCTCCAAAACATCTACTTTCACTTCTTTATTTGCCAGCAAAACCATGGCATGATATAGTACATCTGCCATCTCGGAGGCAGCTCGTGACTTGTCCTCGTTCTTCTCGAGTGTCTGACACAACTCATCTGCCTCCTCTCTGCCAGTTCAAGTAACGGTTATAATCTAAAGATACAAGTTATGTGCGTTTGATCAACGTGTTCTTTTCAGGCAAGTACAATTTATAAGAAAAATGAGTTGAGGTTCAAGAAAATCATTGTACAAAAGCAATTCCACAATGTGGCCAGAAAGATTTTCCATGTCAACAAAATAACATGATTATAAATACCTTACCGGATTTTAGAGCACAGCAAATTATGATTAAGCAGTAATCTCTTTGTCCACGAAGGCTTTAAAGTTTCTCCTTCTGCTACCTCTGCTTTTCGCTGGAAGATTGTTTACTCCAATGCATACAATGAGGTTAAAGCCAATCTACTTCCATTGGCCTATCACAGATAACCCAAATCAGTGAATCACTTGGTTATTAAAAATGCAATGATTGATTGATTGAAGCTAGCCTCTTGCTCTTTTAACAAGTCAAAGACGGATGTATAATAGCATCCCTCCGACCCAGTGTGACAAGTTGGACCATCAGGCTTCCCAAGGTATATAATCTAAAAGACAATTATTACAAAAGAAAAGCGATTACATTCCATAAGAACTATCAAAGTCAAAATAAAACAATTTAGTATGAAGAGGAAAAACGGATCTTACAGAATCACAATCACAATCAAGGAAGACATCATGAACACTAATAAAATTATTAGAGATCTCTCCCTTTGTCCATAATGTTGATCGTGACTGACCATAGAATGTTGCCTTGCGAGATGATATGGTTGTAGCAGCAGCATCTCTACTGGCAAAACCTTGCATGAGAATGGCTCCCGGGTCCACATTTTGAGCTATTGCCCCTGCCAAACCTTTGCGGTCCCATTTCACACTGTCTAGGAGTGATTCAACCTGAAATAAGTTTAAATCCTATAAGAACGCTCCAAACGACAATCACATCTGTAGGCAAATTACTGATATGACTTGATAAATACTAGCCAAAGTAGAATAATTTTTACCAGTTGACTCAATCACTTGGCCACCTTGCACACAAAAAATGGATGCAGAATCAACTCAAATGAGTGATGCATAACAATACTAGGAAATACCAAGATAAGAACACCAGTGATAAATAGTCAACCAAGAACCCAACTCGTTTTCTTTACTATCCAGCAGCTTCAGCTTAAGTATAGACAAGAACTAATCAGTAAAACACTAGAAGGGAAGCTCAAGTTTCAATCTAAAACTTTTTTCCGTACGCAGTCACACCTACACAGGTATACATATGATTGTGTGAAAGAGTGAACCTAAGTTTTAATGTTATCTCATATGATGTAATTTGAGATGTCAGTAAACTTATATGTTATTTTTACAAATGTAATTTAAGATTATTTTCTGCAAAAGAGGGTTGGTTCCCTCAAGACGGGACTGTCAGCTGGGTGAATAAACTTGGTTTCTTATTTGCTCAATAGCCCCCTTTTCACAATCTCCTAGCTACGATCCTAAGTACACAAAAAACTCGTTTTTCTACTCTCCTTGGCTTTTATGATTTCACCCCTACCTCATGATGGCTATGGAGCATAGATAAAATAATGTAGGATCGCAAACTTAATAAGGCTGTTTCAGTGACCACTGCCTTAGAAAAAAATGGATGCATCCTGTCAAGCTAATCATCCTTAAACCATTAAGGATGGTTCGACTCTAAAGAAATAGGGCTGGAAGAACCCAATTACTATTTTATGCCACCCAAAAACAGAAGATAGGGAATGCGCATTTTATAATTTATAATTCAGCTCACAATTGGTGAATTACTTGAAAGCGGTATTTGTTCTATAAGGGATTCAAGGACAAAACATTGGCTTGCTTGATGATAATGCAGAAAACAAGAATTTGTACATGTTTCACACATAGATTCGAGAAGGATCAAGCTACTTGACATATTCGTAAATACCTTGGGGCCAATGGAAACGTCTCTCTCAGATTGCTGAATTGAAGCAAAAACTACATGAGTGCGTCCCCTCTCACCATTGTATTTACGGCAGTCATAGCACGAAAGAAGCCGACAGTTCTTGCGCAAAAATGTCGCAGATTGAAGCATGTGGGCATAAGAAACAGCCATTCAGACACACAAATGCAATATCGCACACTGAACTTGCAGCCTTTACAATTAGGGAAAAAAATCAGTCCTGCGAAATAGCGAAATAGCACTCAAAGTCAAAATCTCTCATTCCAATTCAGTAAAGCCAGCGTGAATGACCTATAATCTATACTTAATCATAGCGAGCTTTTACCATCCGAAACCAGAAGAATGAAAAGAAACAACCCCACCCGTACATATTGAGCCTATCCAGTGTGGAAGGCACCAAAGTCTGTCCCTTCTCACCATGAAAGGCCCCCATATGAAAAGAATAAATAAAAATGGTATAAAACAAAGGGAAAATTGATAAAAAAGCCTGAGTATAATCAAAATGGATCCTAAACCAAATGTATTGAAAAACTAAGTCTATTATTATATTTATAAAATAACTTTTAGCATTAACAGAAATGTTCCGGCGTGAAATTCTCTCTTCGCATGTCGTAATCGGAGAACTACTGGAATTCCTTTGAAACTGTCGAGCTTGAAGATGATTCGCACGGTCACTTGGTAGAGCTCGGGCCATCGAATTTAGTGCCTTTTTGGAAAAAAAAAAATTAACATAGAGGGACATTTCGATTATTTACTTAAATTATTTAATAAATAAAATATTAATCTTAATTCTTCAAAGTATATTTGATCCCTAGGATCAATTTTGTCAATCATTTTCATCAATTTTTTCTAAAAAAAAAATCATCAATCAAATGTTCATCCATCTCATGACTAATGCAAGTCAAGTTCTACTCACAGCAGACACTGTTTGCTTTTGACATCTTTTATGAAGCCATTATGTAATTTTCATTGAATAGTCCAAGTCAAATTACCCCACTTGTCATGGTTATGCTCGTGAAGAAAAGCATCAATCAAATTTGCTTCTAAGAAACCATAAGATGTATGGAAATTTGAAGGAAAGCAGCACCAACACATAACAACTGCAAAATAATATATTTCTTTTCATAAAATTATTTACCAACACTCACTTTTAATAATACAACCCCATATGTTTTGAATAGGCAAAGCAAAAACAATTTGTTAATTAAAAGGCAAGTTTTGCATGACACTAAAGTATGTTTGGAGTCTGTTAGTTCGCCTATCATGTCCATTTTCATTTTTTCCCTGTCGTGTTAGAAAATCAAAATGGACTCGTAAGTAAGGATGCATCAGTGAAATAGATAAGCAGTGCAAGGTTCAAAAAGTAAGAGATGATAAGTGGGTTAATTTGAAATGCAATGATTAATATAGCTTCCCTGACGCCCTGACTTAACTGATATCAACAAGGTGAAAAGAAAATCAAGAACTAAAAGCGAGTCTACTAGACACAACAGGAAATTCCACTGTGGCATTTTGTATTGCAGAAGCAAAAAACCTTAACTCTTTATTATTGGCGTTCAAACATCCAAAGAATACGAAAAGAGAACATCAGGTTTAACATCTCTCCGTATCAGGAATAGTATTCAAAATTAATGGTTAACTAGGCTATTAGATTATACAACGAATAACAAAATAAAAGGCTAACGTTCATAGAGTCCAGCAAATATATGTAACTTCAAAAAAAAAAAAAAAAAACTGGACCAAACACACTTGGTTCAAAAAAAAAAAACAAACAACAACAATAATAAGCTTTTATCCCACTAAGTGGAGTCGGCTATATGGATTACAAAACACCATTGTACTCTATCATTTATTAAACTTTTAGAAATATTATTAATTAAGAGATCGCGTTCAACAACTTTTAAGAACATTCTCTTAAGCCTTCCTTTACCACTCTTAACAGGACTCAAAATTATATGTTTCACTTTTTTCACTGGTTCCTCTTGCAGTTTTTTTTGTATATGTCCAAACCATCTCTAACGATTTTCTACCATTTTTTCCTCAATAGGTATTACCCTCAATTTTTTGTATATGTGCTCATTTCGAATTTTATCTTTATGTTTATATCCACACATCTATCGCAACATTCTCATCTCTGCTACTCTAACTTTAAGTTCTTGCTGTCCCGTTAGAATCCAGCACTCGCTACTATATAACATAGCCGGTCCGATAAAACTTTCTTTAAGTTTATGAGACACCCTACGATCGCAAATCACTCCTTTAGCTTTTCTCCAATTAAATCATCCAACTTGAATTCTATGTAAAATATCCCCATTAATTTCGCCATTATTTTGAATAATGACTCCCAAATATCTAAATTTTTTCACTTGAGGTATAATTTGATCTCCTAATTTTACTTCCAAATTACTATCAACTAATCTCTTACCAAATTTATAATATAAATATTCCGTCTTACTCTTACTTAGATGAAAACTTTTTGACACCAATATCCTCCTCCTCCATAACTCAAGTTTATAATTAATCTCTTCTCTTATCTTTGCTATAAGAACTATATCATTTGTGAAGAATATACATTTGAGAATTTCCCTTTGAATATGTTCCGTCAAAATATTTAGGATCAAGTTAAACAAATAAAGACTCAAAGATGATCCCTGATGTAATCTAATCTTTATAAGAAAGTCCTTTGTTTGACCACTTGACATTATTATACTAGTTTTGACCCCCCTTATATATATCTTGTATAACTTTAATATAAGCAATCCGTATTCCTTTCTTTTTCAAAACTTTTCAAAACACTTCTCTTGATATACAGTCATAAGCTTTTTTCAAATTAATAAAATCATGTATAAATTTTTATCTTTACAACAATATTTTTTCATTAATCCCTTTAGTAGATAAATCGCCTCTGTAATCGATCTACATAGCATAAAATCAAACTGATTTTTAGAAATACTTGTTTTCAATCTTAACATATATTCAATTACTTTCTCCCACAATTTCATTGTATGGCTCATGAGTTTAATCCCCTTTATAGTTAGTAAAATTCTGAATATTTTCTTTATTTTTATAAATGAAATTAATGTATTTCTCCTCCAATCATTAGGCATTTTCTTAAATTATAAAGTCACATTAAATAACTTAGTTAATCATCTCACCCTTCTTCATCTAAATATTTTCACACTTCAATAGATATACAATCAAATCTGTTGGCTCTACCATTTACCATTTTCTTGAAAACTTTCTTTACCTCCTTATCATGTATTATTCGATAGAATGGCAAATTTTATTCTCCTTCATGAGTTATTAAATCCTTCAAGTTATTAGACGAACCCTTTCTATCATTAAAAAGTTTGAAAAAAATAAGTCTCCTATCTATTTTTAATTTCATTATCTGTAATTAAAATTCTTCCCTCTTCATTCTTTATATACCTTATTTGTTTTATATCTTTTAATTTTTTTTTTTACTCTTAACAACCTTATAAAGAATTGAAAATTTCAAAGTCATGTACCCAAGGACATGGTGAGCAGCTGTTCAAGCTACATAATCCAACCCACAAAGCCAGTGCAAGGTTCAGTTAGTTGAAGGGCTTGGAGGAAAAAAGTTAAACCTTCACAAGAGATGGCTCAGCATCATTTTTGTCCGATGACATGGTATGGAAAATCACAGGCAAAGAATGGTGGTCCAGAAACTGACACATGTATGAAAAACACAGGACCAAACTATTTACATGACCAGTCTTTAGCTTTATTTATTAGGCAATGGCATTGCATTAGTCAAATAAACGACTCGATAAGTCCGAGTTCAACCTTATCCTGTCCATCCTGTGATCATACCAATCCAGTTTCATGATCAAGACTTAACTCTTACTTTGTGCATTTTACTTTAGGCAAATTGACTTCCGTGCTATAAAACAAAATTATTTCCCACAATATTACGTTTTTAATAATATTTATTTAAATATTACAAATTTAAAATTTGACCTGATTAATATCGAGTTTCAAATTTTGTTTGGTCAAAAAACGTACATAGAACTTAGCTTCTAGTCAAGTTCTATTTAATATAAAAAAAATAAAAATTTTTTTATCATCTCTCTCTTCAGCCAATTTTTTTTTTGTCAAATATAGAACTTGGCTTCTATCAATCCAAGTTCTATTTAATTTTAAAAAAATTAAATATATATCTTATCGCCTCTCTCTTTAGTCAAGTTCTAATCAATTATCTGGGCAAAATCTAAATCATACAATCATTATTCCAACATCATTAACTCCATTAAAAACTAAATAATCAATTGAAATCCCTAATCAATTAAAATTAAAATGTTAATATCTAATACAACATTAAATGCTTGGATTAACCGAATAAATCACCATGAATATCTAAAATCATTAAATGAGATGTTCTGAGTGATACTAAGTCATCATAAGTAAAAATAATAAAATTACTAACATATTTTAGGTTATATCATAAGTGATATTAAATTATTATGGATCTCTAAAATTGTCAATTGGGATATTATGAATGATACTAAGTTATTATAACATTTCTATTTTTACTCCTCAAATCTAAATAAAAAATTTATAATTATATAAATATTAAAGAAATTGTGTTTATCAAAATATACTAGTAGAGTTTAATTTTTAAGATGTTAAGAAAGTACTATAAAAATTACATAATATGTTGGGGGAGGGAGGGTTTATAGATTATTAATTTTGAAAAGAAAAGAAGGAAGAAGATTTAAAATAAAAAACAAAGAGGAAAGAGAATGGATACTAAAATGTGAAGCCAACTAACTTATTTTATTATTTTCAATCTCATTTATTCTTCTACGCACATCACTTCCTCTTTCTTTCTTTCTGTTTTCCTCTCGCTCGGTGCACAGTGAGAAACTAAGACAGGGAGTGAGCAAAATTTTAAAAATGGGGCTCCATAATAGATACCTTAAGTATGATCTTAAGTTTTTTCAAACTGTATAAGTGTTTTAAATATTTTTACTAATCACATACTTTCTTTAGTTTTTGATTTTTTGATGATAGAAAACCTAAAATTTGATATAGTTTGAGTTTTTAGATACTTCAATTGATTATTTAGTCTTTAATGGAGTTAATGATGTTGGAATAATGATAGTATGATTTAGATTTTGTCCAAATAATTGATTAGAACTTGACTGAAAAGAGAGAGGATGAGATATATATATTTAATTTTTTAAAATTAAATAGAACTTGGCTTGATAGAAGCCAAGTTCTATATCTGACAAAAAAAAAATTTGACTGTAGAGAGAGATGATAGGACAGATTTTTTTTTTTTTATGTTAAATAGAACTTGGCTTGATATGTACGTTTTTGACCAAAAAAAATTTGAAACTCAATACTAATCAGGTCAAATTTTAAATTTATAGTATCTAAATAAATATTATTGAAAGTGTAGTGTTGTGAGAAATAAATTTTTTTTTTATAGCACGGAAGTCAATTTGCCTTTTACTTTACCTCGTAAATCTGTCGGTGCAGTTTTCGTAAGTCCAATGAAACTTCTTTCATGCGCGGGAACGCACAGAGAAAGGGACGAGAAAACACTTTAGCATCGGTTAAACCGAAACTTACATGATGCACTCAAGTATTCAAGCTCGCAAAACACTAAACGAGAAAACACAAACAATGCAAAACCATTCCTTTCCTTCTACATACAACCAGTCGAACACCGAGCAAGAGCAGAAAATTTTTTCCTC